ATTTACTCGAAGTTCTGCGACCAACCGACGTAATCTAACAATCGAACAAGATCGCGAGCAGCGACTGCTCCATCTCTCTCGAGAATTAGAAGTTAAAAAGAAGGTAGTTCAAGACTTGTCGAATAATCGAAAAAACGAACTACAAACATATTAACGCCAAACATTCGGTAGAATTTATAGAATATTGTAAAAATATATATATATATATATATATAATATAAATATATATATATATATATATATATACTTAATGTTTAACTGCTAAAAATCATAGCCTAACATTAAACCATATAAATATATACATTGTTATATATATATATTATTATTATTAGATAATTTGTATAGCACCCATTAAAAGGTTCTCACGCGCGCCTCCACGTATTTCGAACCTATTGCTAAAAAATGAATGTCTTCAACTGCCTTTTGAAATGAGAAAACGACAAATTGCGATCACGCAATGTTAGCGTGACCCTAATTTCAATGCTGTCATCGGCTGCACTAATAAATCACAATCATCTGATCTTAGACTAATCCACTGGCCAATAGTTGATTTGTACAGAAACCTATTAGACAAATATTGCTGTGCTAACCCATTCAAGCTTTAATACATTAAAACACATAATTGAAACCATATTCTTTTTTGAACAGACAGCCAATGCAAATCCCGAGGTACCGGGCTCATGTGATCAAACCATTGCCCACCAACAATGATTCTAGTAGCCCTATTCTGAACCGTTTGGAGCATAGCAATTTCACGCCATTGAGTTCCATTGAGTAAACCGCTACAATAGTCCAACCTTGGATGTATAAATGAATGGATGTTGTTTTGTTCAAAAACTCCTTTGCACGATTCAACGTACGCAATTGAAATGCACATGATCTAACCAAGTTTGGAACATGCATCTTCATAGTTCAAATTACATCAAATGTAAATCCCAACACCATCGCTGTTTTAACAAAATAAACATCAGTATTCCCTATTTTGATGAAGTTAACACCAATCCTAGACGTTTGTTGCCAGGTACCGATTGGTATGACCTGAGTTTTATCCTAATTCATTTTTATTCCATTTTGAGCCATCCACACATCAACCGCATTTAAACAGCTTCGTAATTTGTCATATATATATATATATATATATTAAACTTATACATATCAAATGTTTATTTCATTTGAAGCATTCGCATTAGGTTAACTCATTCTTTACCTGTTGTTTCTTATTATACGTTATCAGTTTATAAAGAAACTGGTGACAAATAAAATCGCTTGCAACCAACTGATTGTAAAGTTAACGAACTCTCTGACTTTATTCTAACAACTACTACAAAACAGTTGTCATCATATTTTCATGTACAGCCTCATGATATGATTAATGACCATTTATGCTTATTAACTTTTAAGAGTTTGGTTATTTTTCTGATAGCGATTGCGTCAGATTGAAATCTTTGTTTTCTATAAACGTTTTCAATGTTTACGAATCCACGGTAAATAGAAATCATAATATTTTATTTACATAAGCAGTATTCTTTACAATATTTCATTTAAACAACATATTTCATTTTGTGTAATATTTCGAAGAGCAAGTTTATAATGTGTGAAAGGTTATCTAATGTTTGGTACTTGTTAGATAAATGTTATTAATAATAATTCTGTATACTGAAATATTGAATAAATAATGTCATTATTGTTGACATTATTATTATTATTGTTGTTGTTGTTATTTAGGCTAGTTCAACGTGAATATTTCAATATTTGATAAACCGAGATTTCTCAAAAGTGATTTCTATGATTTTTAGCAGTTATTTTTTCAAAACAACGTTCTTTTCTTTCTTTCTCGTGCCTCAACCTTTCAGGACATTGGCGACCATCGACCTCCACAAAACCCGATCTTCTACACTTTGTAGCAGTTGAAATGTTGGGGTATTCAACAAGTGAAACAACACATTTTTGACATAAAATAAACTCTTACAATAATGCCACAAATTAGTTTGCAGCTAAATCACTTTTAATAAGCACAACACAACCTTTCATTGGAAAACTCACAATTAAAACCTTTCTGGGGTTCCTGCAAAATCTCACCTATTAACCAAAATACTGTTACAAGTTAAAATTGACCTGGAACGGAACCTGAAAAATTTATTTTCTATTTTAACGTAGCTCTGTCAAGAGCAGAAATGTTAACAAATTTCGCATTTTTTTGTTTATGGATTAAACTTTTGAACCATAAACGCAGAAACAATCTTTCATATGTACATTTAGTGTAATTATATTTATATGCATCGACTACACAAATCGTACGTGTTTTGTTTAGACAGCTCTATAAAAAACGCAAAGAAATAACTGGTTGCCAAATAAAATATTATACAACACACTTTATTAAAAGGTGTTTCAGAAATTTTAGAAACTTATTCTAAATAAATTACTGTACCAAACATTAGCAAAATAATTGGGGTCTTTGAAGGATCCACAACAGCAAAGAACGTTGACGAATAAAATTTTTAGTCAACACCTTCTTTGGCGTATATGCATATCCCAACAGAGATATTTCAGTTGTATCTTAGTTAGAAGATAAACGAAAGTTATTAGTTGCTCAAAATTTGTTATATTAATATCAATAAACTAGATAACGTTTTTTAAAGATTAAACATCTCAGAAAGACTTGAAACAGATAACTCGCTAGTACGAATCTCCGAGGTTAGAAAATGTTATTTGAACATTCCATTTATAACCACACACACACATATATATATATACACACACACCACACACACACACACACACACACACACACACACACACACACACACACATATATATATATATATATATATATATACGTGTATGTGTGTGTCGAAATTGACAAATACAGACAAAACTAAGTGAAATGCATATAAACCGGGGAGACATTTTGCGATTGCAAGGAAAGTTGAGACGGGAATCTGTCTGCATGGTCGAGAAAGACGATGCTTTAGATAACAATTCAATAGTTGTCAATGAATGCGTCCTCTATAACCTCAATGTGAAACCCTTACAGGAAATAAAGTAAGGAATGATCATTTATTTTTCTTATTTTCAAAGCATTATAAAGTCAAGCTGCTAAGTAAGCTTCGTTTATCGTATTGTTTAAAGTTTTCCTGATCAATGTCAATTTTTGATATTATTATTATTATAATTATTTTCATTCTTATATTATCATTATAATCAATCTAAAACTATAAACATGAATAAAATTCAAAGATATACCATAAAATTAATACATTTAATATTAAATGTATTAATTTTATTATACTATTTAGTATAATACACATAAATTAATAATACAATATAACGCAGCACACAAATTCGTTTCACTATTTTTTTATTTTCATTTGAAGGTGTACATGAATAACGAACAATGATAATGAGAATTAAATATCTTATTTACTTTAATTTTTCCCGCACAAATAAGAGTTTCAGTAATATATGACATCGAGCCAGGAGCGTTTATACATGTTCAGGCCTTTGATGATTGTACCAATGAACTCAACAATGAGTTTGTAGATATTTTTTAAATAATCGAACTTCATTTTAATAAATTGTTTGGATATTTGTGTTCGAATTGGCAGGGACCTACTCAACAAATTTTTGAAGCCTTATTTCGATCGTGCTTTTCGGCCACTCATGATTGGAAACGTGTTTGGAGTTAAAGATTCTGAAAATAGAAAAGTGGATTTCAAAGTGGTGGCCACATTTCCTTCGCCATATTGCATTGTCTTTCCTAAAACTATTATTAATTGCTTACCAACTTTAGCTAAAAAAAAGGTTTTTAGTTTAATTATTGTGCAGAACGTTTTTTTAAATTATTACAACGAACAGACCTGGTAAAAAAACGCGTGATGTTATTTAGCTGCAACGCTAAAACTAAGAGTCAGCATTTCACAAAAAATGCTCAGATGAAACCCATAGGCTCGTTTCATTTTGAAACGTACATAAAGAAGCAAGTGAACCGACACGTGTTCATTTCACGCTCTACCGAAATGAAATTTTTGTCGACGCAGTCTTTTATTATTTTTAAAATGAAAAACAGGATGAAAACTGCGATCCTATGAAAGTTGGTTACGAAGATATTGGAGGGTGCAGTCAAATTATTGGCGCCATCAGAGAAGTTGTTGAAATACCACTTCTTCATCCAGAGATCTACGATGCTTATGGAATAGAAGTATGTCTGACTATCTAAAATAAACATATTTAGGCAATTCTTTCCAAATATTATTTTATAAATTGAAAATGTACGAACGGAATATTTCAATCATCTCGTTTTTATTCATATTTTTTAATTGTTACTTTTAGTATATTCAGATGTTAAAAATAAGTTTATGAGTTAAAAGTCGCTAGCAATGTTTAAAATACTGACGCACCTGTTGTCTCTTCATAGCCACCAAAAGGCGTGTTGATGTATGGACCACCAGGCACTGGTAAAACTTTGATTGCCCGAGCAATAGCTCAAGAAACCAAAGCTAATTTTTTCTCAATTAATGGACCAGAGTTGTTAAGTTAGTTTTTTAAATAACAAAATGTTGTTACATAGTTTTGAATTTATCAAAATGTATTCTTAATATAAAACAGTTTAATTGTAAAATTTATATCAATTTATATCAAAATATCCATCCAGATAAGTTTGTTGGCCAATCAGAAAGTAACTTGAGAAAAATTTTCAGCGAAGCGAATCAAAAATCTCCATCTATTATTTTTATCGACGAGATTGACTCATTAGTCCCAAAACGTAGCCAAGTACCAAACAGACAAATCAATTTGTTAAATCTTTACTCAAAATTTTTGCTTTTAAATATCTAAACACGCATTTCATTTACTCAAAAAATTTTTTACACTTTCAGACTAAAGTTATTTGAAAAATATATTTTATATAATAAATAGGCCGTTGGAGATCTTGAAAAACGCATGGTTGCTCAATTGTTAACGTTGATGGATGGTGTTTCTCGCAGGAACAATGTCATCGTCATAGGTGCCACCAATCAACCAAATTCGATTGATCCAGCGCTCAGAAGATATGGTATGAATAATTTTAATGCATGTGTTTTCTACAAAAATTTTCGTATAAATTTTTCACGACTTTAAAATGTCTATAGGATGTAAAAATATTTTATACTAAGAAATTAATTGATGACAAATTGGTGTTACTTACAGGCAGATTTGACCGTGAAATACATGTACCGCTGCCAGACTGCGACGGTAGATTGGAGATTTTGAAGATTCACACGAAGAAAATGAACCTCCACGAAAATGTTGACTTGACAAAAGTGCTGATCAAGTTATTCGTGATTAAATTTCAGTTAAAATATAAAACTACTCGTCATAATAACCGATGTTGATTTGTGTCACTGATGTTTTCATACTTTCTTAAGTTATTTTTTGAATATTATTATATCGCTAGATTCAAAAATAAAGCCTAGACTACGAAACTTATGAAAAACATCAAGAGTTTTAGAACCAGGTGTGATAACAGAAGGAACAGTAATAGAGCGTTTAGATTTATTAAAACAAATTAATCCAAACTTAGAAGGATTAGGTTGAAGACAAATAGAGTCGATAATTGAAGAAAGACTTAGGGATAGATTATGAAGAACCTTATTGAGATTAGATGGAAGAAAACAAATATAAATCAGCATATAGTTGACTAGTGAAAGAAAAGTTATTAATAATACGAGGGAGTTCAGAGGTATAGGGTATAAATAGAAGAGGGCTAAGGATAGATCCTTGAGGTACTCCAAAAGTAAGAGTAGAGGAGTTAGAAGAAGCATTATTAAAAACAACAGATGAAAAACGATTACAGAGATAAGAAACCAAGATAAACAAGAATCAGTAATAATGTTCTAGCAGTCTCAATATTCTATTCACGTATTTTTTTCTTCATGAATAAACCTGTTAAAAAAATAGAATAGTGTGATCAACGGTATCAAAAGCAGAAGAAAAGTCAAGAACATGAATTACTTATGCAAGAAGCTTTGCATGTTTTTCTGAATTGTTTAACAAAAAACAAAAATATAAATGATACAAAATGCTTACCACTCTAAAAACATTTGTTCGTCAAGTTAGCGAAAGAAACACACGGATTCTCTGGAGCTGACTTGGCAGGCCTGTGCATGGAAGCGGCCACTTTGCAGATCAGGGATATTCTCAAAGATATAGATTGGAGTAAAGAGAGAATTGATGTCGATCAGTTCGAAAACATTCCAATCAGTCTCAAATTTTTTGAAGTATTATTAATAATTTTATCAATTTTTTTCAATCGGTTAAATTTAGTACAAAACTTTTAAGGCAAATTATTTTTAGCGGGAATTCTAATAAATTAATAGTTTAATAATTGAATTTAATATTTTCTTTTATATACTTATTTTCGATTTGTAAACCTTTTTATTAAATCCATTTACATTCAACCAATTAATTGGAAAAAACGTCAAAATTCATCAAATCAATTTGTTGCTGATTAAAAAATTTTTTCAAGAAAATTTTCAAATTTAAATTATTATTTTGCTTCGAGTTGCAAATCAACATAACTTTCCACAAGATTTTTTAATTGAAGTTGACAAATATTAAGTGTTTCGTAATATTTTTAATTTCTTAGTTTAAAATTTTTAAGAAACCCTCTTGACCTTTAATAGTTTTTATTTCATAATTATTCTCAATAGATGGCGAAACGTTTGATTACACCGACTGGTCTGAGGGAGCTGACAGTTGCAATACCGCATGTGTCATGGAACGAATGTGCTGGTCTCAATAATGTTAAAAATGGATTAATGGAGCTTATTCGCTTTCCTTCATTGTACCCAGAAATGTTTGAACGTCTGGACATTACTCCCGCCAAAGGAGTGTTGCTTTTCGGTCCACCTGGTTGTGGGAAGACCCTGATCGCGAAGGCACTTGCAAGTGAATGCGGAATCAATTTCATAGCAGTCAACGCATCACAACTGATGAGTATGTGGTTTGGAGAATCAGAATCCAACGTAAAAGAACTCTTTGCTAAGGTTCCATTTTATTTTTTTCTATACAATTATTTGTCTAATAAAAAATTGAATTGCTGCACTTAAGTATGACTTGTCCCGAAAACCTCGGCGCTAATGCTTGATGGCGTAACAGTAAAAGATACCCTGCCCTGCATGCAATGTGTGTGGTGTGTGGGTTTTGCACGTATTTGCATACGCTGTTTGAGTTGTTGGCACCTGTGAACGTTACAGAAGAGAGAAAGAAAGAGAGCAGAGAGAGAGAGAGAGAGAGAGAGAGAGAGAGAGAGAGAGAGAGAGAGAGAAGGCAGGAGAGAGAGAAAGAGAGAAAGAAAGTAAAACTTTTGACATTTCAGTTTACCCACAATCAATATCATCTGCTAGTTGGTGATTTCATGTATAAAAAAATAACACCTATGTGAGATCAATGTTGTTTTTGCTTCCAAGTATACCTTATAATGTGAAAAATTTTGAAAAGGCAATTTCAATCTAAAATTTCCTAGTAAATAATGAATATTAATCACAATCTCAGTTTAAAATTTCTTGTAAATAATGAATATTAATCACAATTTCAGTTTAAAAATTTCTGATAAATAATCAATATTATTGACAACTTCAGGCAAGAGCTTCGCGTCCGTGCATTTTATTCTTTGACGAAATTGATTCGATAGCAGCGTCGCGGTCGATGGAGCCGAACAGTGGAGCAGCAGGTAAACAAAAATAATTATATATAATTGCCAAAGTCTCTTTGTTCGTTCGTTGTTGTTTTATATTTGTAAAATTGTAATTCCTTCTTAATGTAATTCACAAAGTAGGACACGCTGCTGACAGAATCGTCAATCAAATATTAATTGAAATGGACGGAATTACTGATAGCAATGGTGTTTTCGTCATTGGTGCCACCAATCGGTTTGTACGAGTCTCAACGATAAGTTACGATTGCAAGTTGCATTAATCTGTGAATACATACCAAAAATGTAACTCAAATGTAATGAAACTGAACATTTCAGTCCAGACATAATTGATCCAGCAATATTAAGACCTGGCAGAATAGACAAACTGATTTACATTCCCTTGCCAGATCTTCAATCGCGATTGTGTATTTTTCAATCGAAACTCAGTAACTCGCCGATCGATAACGTAATGACCTTTTACAATTTAAATGATGCCGTCAAATTTCTACTATTTGGTATATATAAAAACGTTTTAATTTTACAGACAGTGAACTTAAAACACCTGGCTGAGAGCACACCTGGATTTAGTGGAGCGGATATTGGTGAACTGTGTAGGAAGGCGAAGCATTACGCGATGCGAGAATACATCGATTCAAATGTTAGTACTTTCAAACAAACAAATATAAATACTTTCAAATATTTCAAACAATTAAATCATGTCTCTATTTTCATGACTTGAATGAGTATTATTATAACTATTATTTTCAAAAAAATTTTAATGTGTTATCGCTCGTTATAAAGAATTTCAACAATATGATGATAAGTGGCCATCACTTTGAAGAGGCTCTCCGAAATTCCTCCAGATCAGTGAGCGAGGCTGAAGCAAACATTTTTGATGCTTATGATGCGTCTGTCAAAGAAGGCAGAAGATTCAACAAATTTTTTAACCAAAACAAGTATACACATTTTTATAAATTTAATAAGTTTATTTTATTAAATTTATTTTTTTAAAGCTTTATAAATTATTTCTTACACTATTTCAATTTTTAATTTGCCAATAAGATTTTCAGAGAGTTCGAATACTCCGGATTATAATTTGTACAGCTGACAGCCATATCTAAATACTTTCGAATTTTCTGATTGAAACATTTTATTTTTTTCACCTAATCAAACATAAACATTAAAACTTTATTTGAATAACTGCTGAATAAAACCGTTTTTATATTTTTATCAATTATTTAAAATCGTAGTCATAAGTGCATAAACGATTGCAGCTTAAATTGCTGATATACGATTCTAGTTTACTGATAGCCAAGAAGTTTCATTTTACTCGGGTACCTGGTGCGATGAGGCAAACACTTTTCCCTGTCGATAAAAATTGAATATTCGACAACCAGCTTGTTCTTCTCCAGAAGTGTTCTTTCATCCAGCATATCCTTCAATGCACTTTCAGATTCATTAGTTTTCTGAATCAAAGCGTCCAAAGATCTTGCCAATTCGTTTACTTCACTAACCAAACTATTGAGGTTTTATTTGATAACTAAAATAACTTGATTAGCAAACATCTTCAAATTTATTTATACTTATATAGCAACAACAAACTTTTTTATGAGTGCTTTGCTGAATAAAACTCATCAAGATATTTTAATATATATATGTTTTAAAAAACTGAATAGTAAAATATTGACCTGTATTGGGCAGGATCTCTTGTTAACTCAACGTTTGGTCTGTTCTCTCGATTTCTAAGTCTGGTTTGAGCGACTTTCATCAATTCTTCATAATTTTTTATGCTTCTTTTGATTGTTTCAATGTTTAGTTCACAATTGTAGACCATTTTATTTACCTAATATAACAATTCAAAATAATATTTAAACCTACTTTACAAAATGATTTGGCAGAAAAGCGCAAATCAAATGAAACCGAAAGAGCAAAGAAAAACTAATAAATTAATTAAATTATAAACGATTGGAAAATTTTGTTTATGTTAAACTAAATTTTTTCAAATCTATAAAATTGTTTCTTGCTGAAAGTTTCATTAAACTACATAGATACTTTAGTCAGGTCTTCGTTTAATTTCCACAATGTTTCACTTAATACTTTGATGCGATTATTAAACAAGAAGTTAACATCATCGGCTTGTTTCCTGATGTCATTAGCGGTCGTATCAAGTAAGTTATCAATCAGGCATCTCAACTGTATGGAAGACATGCGCTCCTGTTCTGCCTTAGCTAGGTTGTCGTGTGTGAATTGAGCCCAAGACTCTGGTGTCGATTGACTGGTTCCAAATTGATAGTTGGTTTATTTCCATGTTTTTATTAGATTATTTCACACAAAAAATAGAAAATTAAAAAAAATATTCACACATTTCCTGAAATTTCGCGGCGGCTGGATAAAACTGTTTACACCGAGAATCCTCTTTCAGTGATGCATTGAAACAGTCATTGTCGTGCGCTTCCTTCTTGTCGCTCCAATCCATTTCCATTTCGTGTTTGCAGTTTTTGTTGCGTCTTTGTGAGTTTATTCGATTTTTTTATATTTTTTTACTACTGTGACAAATTTAAAACAAACTAACTTAATCTGCTCTTCACATTGTTTCAAAGTTCGTTTCAATAGCTCCATCGCGCTATTCGTTATTTCCAGCTCCTATAAACATTAAAACGTATATAAAATTGCAATTTTTAATAAGCAACACTAAAATCAAAGTTTTAAAATAAAAAATTAAATTGAAGCTACTTTCAGAAGACCAAGTTCAACGTTATCTTGCACTTTATCCACTCCATCCCTATGCTCTCTGGCATTCAAATTATCTGACACTATCATGTTTATAATTTCATGAGCTAATTGAGCTTTTTCTAATCTAGTTTTAAATTCATTTAACTGAATAATTTCTAGAGCGGTCTCCTTAATTTCTTCACATAGTTGATTTTTCCACAAGGTTATGTCACCAACCCGATCTTTTAGATGTCTTGTGGAGTTGAACTGAATTTGTCGAGCGTTTCTTTCGATTTTAGAAATTATTTCGCGCGAAACTTTGTTAACGTTTTCGGCATTATTCAAATCGGAAAGTATTTGACGAAATCTAGCATACATGACCTCGCTCGACTCAGCCGGATTGTATTTTTGAGTTCTGAAACCAACAGTTGATACGCCCATGTCATTTCCGGAATTGCATGCATAAAAATCATGAAGATTGTATCGGTCGCAACTTGCATTTCGCGCCAATTTTTTTATTTCCTCTTCCGCCATTTGATAAAAAAATTTTGTTCAAAATGTATGAGTATTTACAATCATTTAAAGAACAACGATTGAATTTGAATGTATAAACGTCACCAAAAGATTAAACATACCGTCTCTAGAATAAATAAAATAAATATAAAAAAAGATCGCCACTGATAAAGGTTTCATGCATATTTATCATGTTCGTTGGCACTCTAACAATACAAACAAAATAATTAAAATATATATTTATAATAGTTTAAATGAAGGTAGCGATTTGGATTTCATGTCATGTAAGCAGATGTGACTAATTCGCAATGTAAAAACGGTTATAACTGAAGTAAATAAGTTTTAAATTTTAAATTCTGACGACTTAGATGAACAGGTAATATTTCCAAAGTACGGACCCAACAATGGAATTATCTCTTGAACCGATCCTCGACTTAACATAAGGAACTGGCAACAAACTAGCTAGACTAGATTCATCAGATTTAAGAGATCAGTCTTTTAAACCAACTAGGTATCTTGGTCCGATTCCATTCAGACACTTTTGTAGATGACGCATATTTATAAACAATTCTTTTTTTTACCGTAAGCCAGTGTAGCCCTAATCTTTGTAGAATTGGTGTGATGTGATCATATTTTAAACAATCTACTACTAATTTGGAGCTTCGAAATGCATTTCCTAGACACCCCAAACAAAAGGCTCTAACAGTAGACAATCTTTGCATGAATTCATCAAACATTTGATAGCATTTTCAATAACATTTTACGTGCCAACCGTAATCTTCTTAACTGAGACGCACATGATCCAGCCAGCCATTTGACTTGACCGAACATCGAGAGTGTTTTGTCAAATCTGAATCCTAAATTTCTAGCAGATTTGCAAAAATCAATGTCTATTTTATAAATTTTATGCTGAAGTTATTAATTTTTTTTAATTGTTGCCAGGTTATTACCGGTAATAACTTAGTTTAACATTGATTCAATCGAAGTGAATTATCTGCCATCCAATCGCGATAATACCAAGCAAACAAAGGGCATGACGATTTCACATTGAATCAAATTCATTGGGTACACATGATACGATGATCTGAGTTTCATCAGCAGAATAATGACCGGCAAAATCTTATTTTTTATAAATATCGGAAGTATCTGCTATGAACATTTGGAACATATTTGGGCCCAGAACAGAGCCTTAAGGTACACCGAAAGAAACAGTATTAACACCGGGTATGGGTTAGGCAGGTGGTCTGAATAGAAAACTTACTCAGAGTCGGAGTAGGAAAATTGTTAGTCAAGGAGTCGAAGTCAGACTCATTTGTTTTATATATGTGGACTCCGACACCCTGGAGTAATGTAATTTCTTTGTTTAATATAATAATATGTGTAATTTATTAAATATGATAACATGTATGATCTACGTATATTCTTTATATTTATTTATTCTAAGTATATGATCTATATTATATATATATATATGATGGCATTTATATTATTTTTATATACATACATAGTATAAAATTTTCAGATTTATTTTCAAAAAAAGATTTGAGATTTAAATTCATTTTTCTACCTGCTATTAAAAACTAGGATCCTTGTTTTTAAATTAGAAGTGGTTATTTTCTATAAATTATAAATAAAGATCGATAATATAATATTTACTACAATAATAACTAATAATTTAGAAATCTCAGATCTGACCGGAATTATTAATAAGATCCATAACTTTCTTAAATTAAAATTTTATTTCAAATTTTTTAAAATTTAAATATTTTTTAAATTTAAAATTTTAGATTTCAAGAAGAAAAGAATAATAATAATAAGAAGAAGATAAGAAGAGTTAGAGTCAAGTTAAGCTGAAGACTACAAGACAGCAGGTTGTGCAACTTTTTATTTTAAATTTTTAAATAGTAATATAATAAATATAAAATATATTATATTATCTAATCTATTGTGTAATGTAATGTTGGTTGTCAGGCATTAACAAATAAAATTTTATTTAAATCTGTTATTTATATTAGTATTAATAATAATAATAAAAAATGAAACAGTTAATGTGCGGTGTGACTGAGTTATATGTAATCACAGAGTAAAAATGATATATTATGATTGTGTCTTTTTATTACAAATACATATAAAATATATATTATATAACATATAAAATAGAAATAGACTGTATGTTCCAATATAATTCAAATAAAATATGAGATATGTTTGTTGTTATTTAATTTAGAATCTAAGTTTAATAACAAACAAATCTTAATCATAAATCTAAATTTTAGATATAATTTAATCAATGTGCCATTATCTTTACCTTGTAGAAGGACATTAATGTCATCAGCAAATGGCATAAATTGTGGAACTATTGGAGAATTTAAAAGATCATTTAATAAAATATTGAAGAGGAGAGTACCAAGAATGGAACCTTTAAAAACAATTTGTATATAGGTTGCATATCTGAGTAGACATTAATAATAAAAACATATTTTTTTAATTAGAGAAAAAATTTCCAAACAAATCTGGACCAATCAATCCTGGTCATAATTACAATTAGTGTTTGAGTTTTATTTTATTGAGTTTAATAAGATGCTACAGAAAGTGAAGAGCTTTAGAAAAGTCAATGAGCATTGCTCAGTGATGAATTTGTTTTTATCATTTTCTGCAACTTGGAGAACAAGATGAAGAGCAGCAAGTTTAACAGAAGAACCTGATCTAAAGTCATAGTGATATTGAGTCATGAGGTTGTGGTTGCTTAAGAATCAGTCAAATCAAAAAGTGTTTATCAACAAAAAAAACTTGTTTGAAAACTTCTACTAGTGATCATCTTAAATTATTTTGCTGACCTCAATTCTCTTCCATAATTGCATAAAAGAATTTGTTTAATCTGGTGTTAACAAATACAAACAAATAATTACATACAAATAATTAGGTTGGAATGGAATGTAAGGGATCTCTAATTGTTGAAGTTCTTTAAAAACAGAATCACTCAGCAGAGGCAAAATAATACAGCACATACAATTTACATACAGCATATATTACATAACTTACTGGTCATAAGATAACTTATTTTACATTTTTCCCATTACCACCATATCAAATTATTTTCAATTTTTCAGAGAAAACATTCCATATTATTGATTGTTAAACATTCTATTAACTGATAACTTTACTACGCATGTTTTTATCATCTCAAAATTATTATTTAGATATTTAATTCAATATTATTTTTTTTTAAATTTAATTTATTTTTTCCAGCCAATTCATCTTGCACCAATTTATTTTATTTTGTCATTGCTTTTCAAGAATGAGCTTCAGAAGGGCAATAAAAAAGTTTGTCATCATCACCTCAGCCGTTGCTGGTGGCACGGCATTCAGTTTTTGGTACATTTCCAGATCACCTGCTAACTTGTATAAATCAGTAAGCAATGTATTCTAAAATTTTATTTTAAAGTCAAATCTACCGTTTCAAAATGTGTAAAAAATTTTATAATTTATGGGAGGAACAGTTTAAATTGGTCTCTAAATTATATTGATTTTTACTTGGCAGTAGTATTTGTCAGCTGATAGATAGTAAAACAACAGTGGTCATTACTTTTCTGAAAACATTTTGTAGCTACTGATGAGACTTAGTTAACATTTAAGATTTGTTTTGTCCAATAACTTAAACCAAAATTACCAAATGACCAGAGCAGTTAATAAATGGTATTGACCTGTTTTGAATGCTGTTTACTATGCCAGCTTTATTTGTTATGCTAATTATAGGTGTAGCGAGTTTAAATTATACATATAAGTTTTAAATTGATAATTTAATGGATTCCACAAAATACCTTTTATATTATTTGCTTTTAAAATATAAATAAAAATCAAAGGAAGAATTGTTGCATGCTACTGACTCCTACTTGAAAATTTCTCAAGGCCCTTTGTTAACCAGAGGAGAACAACTGAAAGATCTTCAGAAAAATGAATATGATATTCTCATCATTGGAGGGGGTGCCACTGGTTGTGGCATTGCTCTCGATGCAACCACACGCGGTCAGTTCACCATCCTCTTCATCATTTATCTAATTAATTTTAATTGCTTTTTTAATTCTTTATTAAAAACGTTTGATATAAATGTGATTGTTTTACGCGCACACACACACATACACACACACACAAATAAAATAAAATTGTTATTAAAAGGCTTGAAAACAGCTTTGGTTGAGAAATTTGATTTTTCCTCTGGAACAAGCAGCAGAAGTACAAAGTTGATACACGGAGGGGTGCGGTACCTGCAGAAGGCCATCATGAACCTTGATGTTGAGCAGTACAGAATGGTGAAGGAGGCACTGACAGAAAGAGGAAACTTGCTGAATATTGCTCCTCATTTGGCCCAACCTCTCCCTATCATGCTTCCAGTTTACAAGTAATTTTTCATTACATATAATAGCATTATATTTTATAATGATTATTCGACATTATGCGTTGCACTTAGTCGGCGTTATGTTTTGCTACAAATGTCTTCATCAATGTACCTATATGGTTTTTATATGTGCCAGTCTGTGTTGAAATTGATTATTATTTTATTATATTTGAATATATGTTTCAGCTAGCAGATGTTTAAATTTAAATGAATAGAGAGCTGAGTTATGATTAAAGTAACGATTTACAATTGTATTCGTTATGCTATTTTAATAAATTTTGTTGAATATAATAAAGATGATGATGAAACTAATAGCATTAATGAATAAAACAGATGTACACATAACAAAATGGCATTTAATGATTTAACTTACGTTTAAGCCCATTATTTATTTATATTTATATTTATTTATTTAAAAGACTTTAATTATTTTATTATAATTTTTATCACACTGGGATCTTTTTTATGGAATATTTGAATATCAGGATGGATGCAACTTTATTTCTTGTGAAAGTCCATTTTGTTACATTCATCTTCTTACATATTTATATCAAACCTACAAATTTTTTTATCTGCATTGACAACTAATAGAACGAGTGATTAGAAGCATATGTATTTTTGAGATACTTCCTTGTAACCGCACCTGATTTTTACTTATATGATATTTAATTCATCGAAATTTGTTTGTATATAGATGGTGGCAGCTGCCCTACTACTATGCAGGCATCAAAATGTACGATCTGGTGGCAGGCCAAAAACTGCTCAAGAGTAGCTACATACTTTCAAAGTCGAAGGCCTTGGAATTGTTTCCAATGTTGAAAAGCAATCAGTTGAAAGGAGCCATTGTTTATTATGATGGTTGTTCTTCTAATATTTATTTGTTTTTCAGTATTTCTTACATTTAACTAATTTACTGATAAGTAATTTGATGCGTTCTTCAATTCTAAGTGACGGTACAGTTTTGTTGTAGCTTTTGTAATTGATGTTTTATCATTTTTGTTGAGCTACATGAATGACTTAATTTTGCATTGGACCTACCTGACTGCAGGACAGCACGATGATGCACGCATGTGTTTGGCTCTGGCGCTGACAGCAGCACGATATGGAGCCAACGTCGCCAATCACACTGAGGTCATTAAACTTGTTAAAAGGAAGCAAGGGGATAAGGAAGTGATGGCCGGCGCTATCGTCAAAGACAACATAACAGGTCTTTAAGTGGTTTACTATTTTGTTGTGTCTGTTTTTTACGATCAAATTATTTATTATTAAGTTGAAATTACATTTTAATTCTTGAATACTTACCATTATTTTCTATGTAATTATTTTTTATGTTATTTTGGAGATTAGATTCTACATAAGTCCACCCATGTTTTTTTCTATCAGTTTTCTTGTAGCACTTATCATTGATGTTATTTTCTTGAACTTATTCTACACCATACTTTTTCTGGCTTTTCCCGACCCATCAGATTGTCCACATACTGAAGATCACAGAGATGTCTAATTCTTTCCTTTCCATGTACCATATTCTTGCCTGTTGCTGTAAATATAACGCTTTATAATATTAGCTGATTAAATTTTTCAAATAAATTTATTTTTACAAATTTATTTACATTTGGTTTTTCTATTACTTAAATAATTTTATGTCCAAAACGAAACAAGTGACATTTTTAGCACATCAAAATATTCATTTGTTGTTTAAATTTAGTTATGCAATGTAATAGGAAATATAATATATAACTTGATTGGGCAGTTGAGACGACAAAAGCTATTAAAATTAATGTACTGCAGGGAAACAGTTTGAAATAAAAGCGAAATGTGTAGTGAACGCCACGGGTCCATATACTGATTTCATCAGGCAGCTGGATGACAAGCAGGCTTCAAAAATATGCCAACCGAGTTCTGGTGTGCACATCATTCTACCAGATTACTATAGGTTTATGCATTTTTCAGACAATCAATCTTTGATTACATTTTTTAAATATTTATGAATCTGTTTCTAATTTTTCAGTTTTGGAGTAATTGAGTGAGGATAGTTGATAAATAACGTGGTCAAAATAATTATGTTATGTTAATTTACCACAAACTTTTTTTTTCTTCCACAATGCCATTTAGTCCGTCGAACATGGGTCTCCTGGATCCAGCCACATCGGACGGAAGAGTTATTTTCTTCCTACCCTGGCTCAACTCTACAATGGCGGGCATGTTATATGATGTTTTTAATTTTCATTTTACTTCTTTTACATTTGATAAATTTGTGGATGTTATCAAAATTTTTAAGTTGTACATATTATCACCATATAAGCAGCTTAAGAAACGTCTGCAATATTGGATCAGATTTAACAAATTTATATTTGCACATTCTTAGGGCTAATTTATTTATTGCATTATTTTCCTGCAATGTTGATGTTTCTGTTCTTTCGTTATGGACATTGAAACTCTGAAACGAAGGCACAACTGACATTCCATGTGAGGTGACTGACCACCCATCTCCAACAGAGGCTGAGGTTCAGTTCATACTTCATGAAATCAAAAATTATTTGAACCCCGACATCAATGGTATGGTTTCAATTGTTTTTTTTGTGTTTGTTAATATTTATATCTTCTTCTTTGTGGAGTCATTCATGTTTTTTTAACGTTCTTATTTGTTTAATGTTTTTACGCTTGTTGTGCATTTGAACTAGTTATAGTTTATTATTGTCTCATTGTTTGAGTTAATTTAATGATGTTAATGAAACAATAATTTTTTTCTAAATTTGAAGTTCGCAGAGGTGACGTTCTGTCGGCCTGGAGTGGCATACGACCCCTGGTTCTTGATCCAAATGCTAAAAACACCCAATCCGTCGCTAGGAACCACATCATTGACGTCAGTGACACAAACCTCGTTACAATAGCTGGTCAGCTTTCTGTTACTCTCAAACGTTTATGAGTTGTTGGCGTTTTCATTTTATGGCCAATGCTGCTGACCTGTGTTATATAATCTTTTCAATTGTTTATAAATTGTGTTTCTATATCATATTTCATCATCACTGACTATCAATTACAAAAATATTTTCAAATAAATGATGTCTTAGACTTCAGTTATATTGATTCAAACATCTTTTCAACATTTATTGTACATGACATGATTAATTTGGCCCTAAACTTCTTAGGAGGTAAATGGACAACGTACAGACACATGGCAGAAGAGACAGTCAACAAGTGTGTGGAAGTGTGTCAGCTGACGACACAAAATGGCTGTTTGACGAAGGGTTTGTTACTGGATGGAGCCCACAAGTGGACCCCCACTCTCTTCATCAGACTCATTCAAGATTATGGGCTGGATAACGATGTTTGTATCTGCTATTTGCTTGAAGCCTCATGTCGTTGTAGATTATTATTATTAGTCGAAGCAGATGAAATTAATTCTAATGAAATATTGCATAATGAACTTGGATAATAATTATATTTTTAATAAATAGAACAGTATCCAGAAAATTCTAGTTAAGAAAATTGAAAAGACAAATTTTAAATTGTTTAATGCCAACAGTTCAGTAGAATTCTGACGGTACTAAATATATTTGTCAAAAGTACTCCCTTTGTCAAAAGTACTTGAAAAATTAGTTGCCAACAAAATGAAATCATATATAGATAAATATAAATTATTGTCTAATAACCAATATGGATTTAGACCAAAGCACTCAACGAAGTTAGCCATTTTAGAACTATCTCATAGAATTATTAATAACTTAAATGATAAACATCCTACATTTGGGATTTTTATAGACCTCACGAAAGCTTTTGATATTATTGATCACAATTTACTTTTACACAAACTCGGTATATATTATATATATATATATATATATATATATATATATATATATATATATATATATATTTGTAATTTAAAATTTTTTTATAATCTTTAGGTGGCGCAACACCTTGCAAGAACGTATGGAGATCATTCATTTTCTGTGGCTAAGTTGGCGCAACCTACAGGTAAGAGGTGGCCGGTGGTTGGCAGAAGACTTCACCAAGACTATCCCTACATAGAAGCTGAGGTCGTGTTCGTTTATTCATTTTCAATTCTTTTTTTTGTTGTATAATTTTTATGACGGGACCACAAATTTTAGTAATATTTAAGGTTTGATGATTGGAGGTAACACTGACCTTAATCTAAAATAACTACAGTCTTCACTTTCTTAATGAGTGATTCACGAACAATTTTGTTTTGACTGGCTGCATCATAATTTTGTAAAATTTGTTGCTCATAAATATAATCAGGTGAAGTATGCTGTGAAAGAATATGCAGAGAGGGCTCTGGATGTGATTGCAAGGAGAACGAGACTTTCATTTCTTAATGTCCAGGCGGCCGAAGAAGTCCTACCACGCGTTGTTGAAATTATGTCCGTGGAACTCAACTGGTCCAAACAAAGACAAGAGGTTGTAGCACGATCGCTTCCTTATTTAAATGCCGTCTTTCACAAATTTAATTAGTATATTGAAACAAATCTTTTATTTAATTCTCTTTTACACAATTCAATAAAAGGAAGAATTAAAAAGAGCAAAAGATTTCTTATCGAAAGAAATGGGTCTAAATTTAAAGACTGAATTGGAAAAAGCCCAACTTCAGTTTACAACTGAAGAAGTGAGTTTTTACACAAATAAGTTCAAAGTTTTGGATGCTGATAACAAAGGGTACATTACCGTAAATGATCTCAGAAACCATTTTAAGGTTGGCGCGTTTCCTTCATTTTAAAGCTGTTTGTTGCCATGAACTGCATTTAAGAAAAGCATTCTGTTAGCAGAAGGAAAGTAAAGATGACGCTAAGAAAATTCATAAACTGCTGGATGAGGCAGAATTGAAGAAGAATGCACAAATCGATAAATATGAATTTTTGCAGGTTTTGTATTGTTTTTTCATCCAAATTATATTTGCTTCTTCCAAACAATTTCTAAGATTTTTTTGACCGACAGAACTTAAATATCGTTTTAAGAGTTAAAAGTTGATTTTTTTTCTACTTAATTTCTCTATTCATGTATCAAGTTTCGTTCGTTGCACTCTCACCGCACTTTCAAAAATCTCTGGTCCTGCGTTTTATACAGTTTTTTGTAGTTTTCTGTTCATTTCATCATCTAGTCAAGTAACTTCAATCTAATAAGATTTTTTCTAAATTTAATTCAAATTACTGATTGATATAATATGGTGACTTGTAACTGTTGTGGATTCGTTGATGATATTGGAACTTGTGATTGTAAAATTTGAATCCAGTTGATGAGCATCATGAGGCATGGATCGATAGCAGCTAAGAAGCGAGAAAGTGATGATGACAAGGTGCTCAAACCGATCAGCATTGCTCGAAGTGGTGGAGGAGTATAACCATTTAACATTTAATTCTTGTTATTTAAGGAAATTTCTTATTAGCCAGATAATTAGTTTATTTATTTATTAAGTTTATTAAACTCGCCTAAATTAACTATTTGTACATATAATTTGTCTTTACAAGTTATGTTTCAACTCAAAATTATGAATATTTTAACAAAAAAAAACAATAACTTTAGTACTCAAATAATTTCACATTAAGCACTGAAGTATAAAACAGTGTTTAAGTTAAAAATAATATAACGACTCGCTATTTTTATGACTATTATTATACATAAGCTGGACATATTTAGTCATGCTCGGCAGTGCATATAATACTTCGGGGATGAAGCAATGGGTCTTGTTAAACCTCATAAATTAAAAGAATGGAAGTACACCCAACGCTAGTGATTAGGTACAAACGGATCCATGATTTCAAATAAATTCAAGTAAAAATAGTTTGATAAACTAAATTGTAAAATTATATAAACTTTTTTCCTGAATCACGGCTGAATCAACCGAATTGATAGAATTCCATGTTGTTGATTGTTCTCGCTGCTGCTTGCTTGGAGCGCTTGTGTGACCAATGGCGGATGAGTTGTGAGCGTTATTTGTGTTAAAATTTAGTAAAAGTGGTTGTTTTAACGGAAAATGTAGTGTTTTTGAAGAAAAAAATTGACGTTACCAAAAAAGTTAACTGCTCGTCACAATGTTGGCCCCTCGCTGAACATGGAAACATTTCCGAAAAAAATTTTGAAATACCCCGGTTGTCAACTAATTTGTGAAAATTTTTTAAACATTCCACCCATCTTTTTAAAATCTTCTCTAGTTCGTCAAATATCAATATTTTTGAAAATCTTGTTCTCCCGTCAAAGTTGTCTAAATCGCCACTGCTGTGTGACAGTTGCTTCTACTTCTAGGTTATGGGTTGTTGAATTTAGCGACGTTTCAAATTAGATTGAAAAAACTTTGCTGTTAGTTTTTTTGTAAATCTTTTTAAAATGTGGTTTTCTAGATTTTGTTCTTCTATAACAAACGCCATCGCGTAGAAAAGCCCTGGATCACACAAAGCTTGCTAGCTTTTTTTAAAGTTAGAAATAAATTATATGTAGGTACAGGTATCCAGACCGGTAACTAATACGAATAAGTGTAATAAATATAAAAATTTATATATGTTCACATCTGTAAAATACATAAATATTCACATTCTAATTTCCAATTTCTTAAACATGAAAATAATTAGTTAAGCGAGCTAGGAATGTATTGAAATCATAATGCGCAAACTCGTTTTTTCATTTAATTACTACGAATGATTTATTATTGCGTATTCATTTTCTTATTTTTTTTGCCGTTTAATTTAAATCTAATTATTTAGACTTTATATAATAATTTCAATAACTTTAATTATAAAAATATTTTAGAATATGTATTCCAAATTTATTTGTTTTGTTTAATTGCTTTTCTTTAAAATTTTTTAGATATAGTTAACAATCTTAAAAATTCTCATAGTGCTAATGATGATCGTATTTTCAATTTTTTCTTTGAAAAATTATTGTTGTTCTTGTTTCACTTCAACATCTTATTAATCTGTAATTTCGTATGGCCATTTTCCTAAATGTCTGAAAATTTCAGGTTAATTCTATATTTGTAAACCTAAAGTAGAACATTCTGTTACCAGTAACTGCCCTATATATGCGACTGTGTTATGGTCACGAAACACATTGATAAGATAGTACATGAAAGTCAATCAGCGGTTGAATCGAAACGATTAACTTTGAATTGGCAAAGCGAGATCAAGGTGGTGCTTATTACAAGTAGAATACAAGTGGAAACCGTTATGCTGAGAGTAAGAGATCCTGGAGTATATTTTGTACTTATTACAGAAGAACGACAGGACAGCATTCGTCGATGGAAAATGCTATGACGCACTTGTCCTCAGAAAATGGGTTTCCAAGCAAATAAAATAGAAGGTTCTAAAATAAGAAAGACATATGCGGTGGTTCGTAGTAACTGAATAAGAGAACAGTAGCTATCTTCCTCCATCTACTGTGTAGTAACGCCTGACAGCTGGTCAGCGGTGGAACCGAGGCCTGAAGTTAATGAGGTGTTTTAGTCGGTGTGCAATTTTTTTGACCCCGTCATATTAAGGAAGAATACGGCTATGGAATACGTAAATGTAATTTTACTACTTCGAAAAAATGTATGTAATGATCGGTAAAAACATATACTTGAATATATATATTTATATTTTCTAAAAAAAAACAAATGAATGTATGTATGTTCAAATAAAAAAGGTATTAATAAATAGATGAATAATAAATAAATGATCTTAAAAAATAGTATAATTTGATTTACAAAATGTTAAAGGTTAATTAAAAACTCGCAAAATTATTAAGTAACATTATTCAATTAGAAATATATTAATAAATAAAAACATGATAATGTTAAAATGATTTGAAAACATTTAGTGATGAATTAGCGAATCATGCTGTCGTGTCAGTAGCTTATAAATATATCGACAATTGCAATTCAACTTTCGTAAAGAAATTGAACAATGAAAGTTATAATTTTTTATTTTTTTAAAGAATGGCTTCAAAAGTGTGCACTAAAGCCGTACTTCCTTTAAGACAAGCATAACACGCTCATAGTATAGCTGAATTACAAATGCTGTGTTTTTTGTGAAAAAAAGCTTTAATGCAACTTAATCAAATAAAAAAACTCATTTGAAAATTAAGTCAATTGTTTTTATCACTTTATATTGCCAATTGATTGTGTCCTAGACAAACTGTCGAAATTGTTTAAATAATCATTTTCTTCATTACTCAATTGCTTCCACTTTTTGCATGCCAAAGCAATTAATGCTGTTATGGCAATTGTAACGAATGTGTTAAATGCTATAAGGCCCCAATAGGAACTTGACAGTTGTTGAGTGTTAAGCTTAGCACTTGTCATCGATTCGTTGATGGCTGGTAGCTTGTCAAGGACATCATTCATATTTTGAAGTTGTTGCTGAGTTACTACCTCTGTTCGTGTTGAAGTATTTTTTCATGTTCATTAATATAAATATATTACCTATTACAAATTTTAAATGTTTTTAAAGTTTTACGTAACTTGAGCTGAAATAATAAACTTTAACATTGATTTTGTTTAAAATTAAAGTTTTCGTTTATTATAAAGTAAACAAGTTAGAAAAAAATTACGTTCAAGAGTTGCCGTCACGCAGATGTATCCACCTAGACTGTTGATGCATGTCAGTCTGGCGGGGCATATTGACTGATTCAGCGCGCATTCATCGACATCTATCAACGGTTTATAATAGTTTTAGATTAATTTATTATTAATCTTTCTAAAAGATTGTGTGATCTTTGTTGAATGAAATTTTTATTACAAAAATATTGTAATAAATAAAGTCATTAAAACCTATGCAATCTCTGTTGTTCATGGATAACGCGTATCCTTTAGGGCAAGCACACACATCCGCGGCTCCATTTGTGCCTTTAATACAATAATCAGAGCAGCCTCCATTTAGGTTCTCGCAATGTATGGGTGTGTAGTTTATTAACACTGTGCTACTACCTCCTAAGAAATTAAATCACTTGTAAGTTGATTAAAAATGGCAAAATCTTATAATTCTAGCACATTTAAGTTTGATGATTCTTCAACACACTCATCAATGTTTTATTATATAAAAATTCTAACTGAAAAACAAATTAATTTTGAACCTGTGGACGTGCAACTTTTTTTATTTGCTCCTAAAGTAAAACCTGGTCTGCAAGAACATTGGTAACCGTCCATTCTATCGACACATATTTGTTCACAGAAACCATTGTTGTAGTTGCATTCGTTTAATGCTTTATTCAAATGTTAATTCCCATTAATATCACCAACAACAAAAATAATTATTGATAAAAACTTATCAGATTTTTGATTTTTCATATGTTCCAAAACAAACAGCATTTACATTTTACAACATATATGTAAAAACTAACTTGTGCATTTGAATCCACCAGCAACTCTGATTTTCATGTACGAAACTGTACAAACGCAATATGGTTGATAAGAGATGGAGCCATTTGGATAACTCAGTTGAGCAACTTCACAAAACTGATCACAGTTTAGCTGATCGCACCATATTTTCACAGCTAAAAATATTTTCATAAAGCTTTGAACAAACTTTCAATATTTAATAGAGAAAAATATAATTTTACCATCTTTATTCAACAATTTGTTTGTAGAATCCATTCCAGGTCCTCCTGTAGAACCAGTGGATCCCGTTGCTCCTGGTACGCCTGAGGCTCCAACGAATCCTGGTTTGCCCGTCGAACCTGTTGCCCCTGTGTATCCAATATTTCCAGTGTCTCCGAAGACGCCAGTTCTGCCTGGTAGGCCAGTAGCACCTGTATAGCCAGTGTTTCCAACTTGACCAGCTAAACCGGTTTGTCCCGTTGGTCCAACGGGCCCACTTAATCCAGGAAGTCCTTGAGATCCACTATTTCCCATTTGTCCAATTATACCAGAATCTCCAACGGGTCCAAGAAAACCCGTAGATCCCGTATTGCCAGCATCACCAGTTTTGCCTCCGACACCTGTACTTCCAGTCATACCAACAAAACCAGATGTTCCAGTATCACCTGGAGTTCCAGCAGCACCCTGAACCCCAGGAATACCTGATTGGCCTTGAGAACCTATCGGACCTTTTCCTCCTACAGCGCCAATTTGGCCTGTATTTCCAACATTTCCTACTTTACCTGTGCTACCAACCGGTCCAACCATTCCATTTGGTCCTGTAGCTCCCTGAAGTCCAGAAGCTCCAACAGCCCCATTTGAACCATCGACTCCATTAAAACCAGGTGCACCAACTGATCCTGAGGCTCCCGTAATACCTCTAGGTCCATCAAAACCTGGTGAACCGGGTAAGCCTTTTAACCCTGTATTTCCTGTTGAACCAGTTGGACCAATTTGACCTGATAAACCATTATTACCTTTTGGTCCTGTGGCACCTATTTGTCCTGTATATCCAGTATTTCCGGTTACACCGGTAAAGCCTATACCGCCAGTAAAACCTGTTCCACCTGTGAAACCAGTGAATCCACCAGTTCCAGGAACACCAGGATAACCCGTAAAACCTACCAACCCACTTGAACCAGTATTACCTTTAAATCCATTCGGTCCTAAAAAACAATGTTTAATATATATATATATATATATATATATATATATATATATATATATATATATATATATACAATTATTTATAAAGATCACTGCGTTTTCGGCATTATTCAACTTGTAGTTGAGTTTCTCAATTTTTCTAGTGAGACTTTAATCATCTTGATGAAGTTTATTAAGGTTAAATAAAAAACTTTTAATATTTGACATTTTTGACAAAACATTATTAATAACGTTGTTGCTACAGAAAAGCTCTTTTCGGCATCAACTGCCATCAGTGTAGTTATATAGTATTGTTCCGTCTTTGTGTTTTTGTTTTCACAGCGACTTTGATTGTAATGATATTTGATCGATTATTAATGAAGTCTGTAAAGGTAAACTGACCCAAAAATTTATAACGTGAGCAATAGGAAATAGAAATTACATTAGTTTATATATATATATATATATATAATATATATATATATATATATATATATATATATATATATATATATATATATATACATACACACACACACACACACACATTTACTCATTTATTCGTTAGTTCATCCGAACAAAGAAACATCTTTCAATATATTCTTTTTTTTTAAATTTCGACGATTTTTAAAAATTTCAACAATATTTTTTTGACATTTTGCTATTACATATTAAAGTTTTCAAACCAAACTGGAAAATTTTGTAAAATGGCTAATTTGTTAAAACCAAATTCATTTAAATATATAGTAAAATTGTTATAAAAACTCAAAGATATAAAGACTTTCAATATATGGATTTGAGGCCGAAGAATTTGTTCATTTTATTGAAGTTATGAAAAATGCATCGCTTTAATAACCATTAAAAATAAACATACGATAGTTTATAAAATCAAAAAAGGCTAAAAAGTCTATACCATTCTTCTTAGGTTCAGAGAAATATCCAACACGCAAACAACCCAGTCTGCAAAATAGCACCAGGCGACTTTACCAACTAGGTTATCAATTGTTCGGTTTGGTCTAATTCGAAAAGATTATCGCCTATCATGCGCAATAAAGTGAATTATGCGTTTTTTTACGCGTATTCTCGTACCTTTTGTGTATGTATGTGAATAGTTGATAGCTAGAAAAAAAATATTTTTGTTGAACATTTTACGGATGCATTTGCATCTCCGAGACAATGGATTTTTAACGGAAACAAATATTTACCCAAACTAGCATCTTTAAACGATGCATCGATAGCCAAAAAACATCAATTTATCAGCCATGAGCAATTGTCAACTCATTTGATCGATCCTCTTTAAACATTTTAGTATCGCATTATTATCAACCATATCATAGATGCATTTTTGGCACCGACGTAAATAACAAGACTGCTGTTGTTAATGAATATGGCAGTTAAATTTTTTGAGTTCGCCATCTCTATTTGTATCGCCGTTATCTTCCAAAAGAATAGTTAACCCTGCTTTTTAGCAACGCATTAATATATCGAAGAATCAGCACTACCCAATATTGATAACTGTTCATGCATCGATACAGAAACAATCAATTATGACACATCAAGAAATTTTTACATGTAAAGATTTCAATCATACGAATCGGGATAAAAACTTTTGTAATAATGATTGATATATTTTCTATGTTGAAAGATATTTAAAAATCTAATAAAAACATCTAATTAGAAAATTCATAAAACTTTTAATTCAATATACCTCTCAAGCCAGGATCTCCGATAAATCCTGTGAATCCGGTGCTGCCTGCGTTTCCGATGGCTCCTGTTGCACCTTGGGGTCCGGCATCACCAGCCAATCCTGGACTTCCATCTGAACCTGATAACCCCCTGGCACCAGTAAAACCCGTATAACCTGTAGCACCCGTAAATCCAGTATTTCCAGCATCACCTGGTGGGCCACCGAAACCAATTGAGCCAGTAGGACCAGTGTATCCAGAAGGTCCTAAACTACCTTTTGAGCCGGGCAAACCAGGTAGTCCAGAGTTTCCTGTAATACCTTGCAAACCTTGAGGCCCATTATCTCCAGGGGGGCCGTCAGAACCTTGTGAGCCTGGTGCTCCAATATCACCCTTGACCCCTGAAGATCCTGAAATGCCAGGTAAACCATTAGGACCAGTAAATCCCTGTTGGCCTCTAGAACCGTCATTTCCTTGATTTCCTGTTGGCCCTGGTTTACCGTTTGTCCCAACAGGACCCAATTGTCCCGTATATCCAGTAAACCCTGTATTTCCATTTGAGCCAGTGAACCCAGTTGCACCCATTGAACCAGGAGCTCCAATTGCTCCAGAATTTCCTGTAAATCCTGTAGCACCCATCTGTCCAGGACCACCCTGTATACCAGGTTGTCCAGATTGACCGCTAGCTCCTTGAGGTCCAACATCTCCTTCAAAACCAGTGTCACCTTGTGCTCCAAATGATCCGGTATTTCCTAACAATCCAGGAGCTCCATCTTTACCTTTTTGACCGGTATAACCTATAGCTCCGGTATTTCCGGTATAGCCTGTTTGACCAGTTGCACCAATCATTCCAGTTCTTCCAGGAGTCGCTCCAAAACCTGGCCGACCAGATGGCCCTGTAGCTCCTAAAGGTCCGGTTGCCCCAGTAAAGCCTTGTAACCCTACAGTTCCAGAATTACCGGTGTCACCAGATGGTCCTGTTATTCCAGTATTTCCAGTATTACCTACTAAACCAGTAAAACCAGTAATTCCTGTTGGACCTGGTAATCCAGCAAGTCCAAACGGTCCAGAAGGACCAGGATTTCCATTTTGTCCTTTTGGTCCAATTATCCCATCAAAACCCGGTTGACCTTTTATTCCTGGAAATCCAACATCGCCCTGAAATCCAGTGAATCCTGGAGATCCCGTATTACCCGTATAACCAGGGTATCCTTTAGAACCTAAAAGTCCTGGTTGACCAGTTATTCCTGTAAATCCGTTAGCTCCAGTAAATCCTATCGAACCGGGTATACCTTGTTCTCCCGATGATCCAGTATCACCATATGAACCCATAACCCCTATGACGCCTGCAGGGCCCTGAGCACCGCTAGCGCCAGGTTGGCCATTAGCACCAGGTTGACCTCTTGGCCCTTGAACACCTGTAGCTCCAATTATACCAGGACTTCCAGGACTACCAGATTCACCGGTGTTTCCAGTTGGTCCAAATTTTCCTACATTACCGTCATCTCCAGTTAAACCCATTGAACCTATTATACCTGATTGACCAGATGAACCAGTGGAACCAGTGAATCCAATAGGGCCAGGACTTCCTGTATTACCTGACGCACCGGTAAATCCTAATGTTCCAGGAAATCCAACGTTTCCGATTGGACCAGTTGGTCCTTGAGAACCTTTTGGGCCGGGTAAACCTGCGAAATAAAATACATTTTGAAACAGTTTCTAAGTTTTTAAACACAGTTTTTAAACAGTGCTAAGTTGTTAAACATCTTAGCACGCCAAAGAAAATAACTTCTTTTATGGGCTATACCCAGATTGCTAGAAAGTGGTGGGTCGCGAGATCAAAAATATACCGGCACGTACGTAGCCTTTGTAGGATGTTGGACCGGCAAGTTAACGCACCGCTAGTGGAGGCAAAACGACGCACCATATGGCCAAATCACAACGCCGCCATAGTCTAATCAATGGTGATTGTTAATGCCACCGAAAAAAAAGCTTTTTATGCAAACTTGCCTGAAATTATGTATCATGTACAGAACGGGCAAGAATTTTACTTTAAAACTTTGCTTGTTAAAGCCAGTTTGAAAAATTTTGGTTTTATAACTAAAAATTTATTTTTCGTTTTATTTATACATTGTTTTTGAAATAACTTACAAAACATTTTTTGATATTGTTTATTATATTTTGAATTTATTTTTATTTGAATTTAAACTTATTTTTAACACGTTTTTAACGTCGTAAACATTTTTCAAAAAACTAATAAAATATTTGCAAAAAATTTTCAATTGAAGTTTAAATAGTTATTTATAATGCTTGCATAAATTGTTTAATTAGCAACATAGGGGCGCTCGAATGATTACAAACCTATAACAAAACATTAGTAGTTATTAGTAGAGACACACATAAGTTTCGACCTGGCCGAACATTGGGCTAAAATAGTGCAACTTCAGTTAAACCACCATTTTATGGGTTTTAAAACAATAATTGTTAAATATTATTAACGGGAAATTTATTTTTGCCTTCACAGCTGTTAACACGTCTGAATTTGAACAAGAGATTGAATATTATATCAATGAAGAATTGTTGGATAGACATAAATCGACAACTGTTTTTTACAATGGCTTGTTTTTTACTCTAAAAGATTAATTTTTTTTAAATTGAGGGTTTTTTTGGTATTCGGTATTTGGCCGAATGATGGATCGGGTCAATTTCACCAAATTACATTATAAATACAAAGCACACGTTCAAAATTACAAAAAATTTAATTGAAAAAAGAATTTATACCTGGTACGCCATCTTGCCCAATGTTGCCAACAGAGCCTTGATTTCCAGATGAACCTGTTGGTCCAGAAGGTCCGGTTGATCCTTTTTGACCTTTAACACCTGAAGAACCAGTAAAACCGAAATTTCCAGAAGAGCCTGTCCATCCAGGAGCACCTTGCGATCCAGTATCTCCAACGTTACCAGAAGAACCTGTATCACCAAAACGCCCAGTGGCTCCACCGGTTCCAGTTGGACCTCTAAATCCTGAATCACCATCCAGACCCCTGGGCCCAGTAAAACCCTGTAATCCAAAACTTCCACTGTTTCCAGTTGCACCTACTTGGCCAGTGGAGCCAGGTGGACCAGTTGCACCAAGGTTTCCTGGACTTCCATTTGGACCTGTTGGACCAGTGATACCGGAAAAACCAGTAAATCCTGTATTCCCATTCAAACCAGTTGGACCTCTTGGACCAGATGCTCCTACGGTGCCAACTGATCCAGGTGAACCTCCTAACCCAGGTTGGCCGGGTAACCCAACTGAGCCCGATGGACCAGATAATCCTGTTTGACCAGTCATTCCAGTTGGACCAGTTAGGCCTGTTCCTCCTTTGCTTCCTTTAGGACCAGTTGTTCCAGTTGCTCCAGTCACTCCACTAGCTCCAGTTGAACCAGTATAGCCAATAAATCCTGGCAAGCCGTTAAATCCAGTCGAACCCATGGTACCACTTGCACCACTTTGTCCAGCAACACCAGAAGGTCCTGTAAATCCAGTGTCACCAACAACACCAGTAGAACCTGTAGCACCAGAATAGCCCATAACTCCCGGTAAACCTTGCGTACCCACAGTTCCTGAAAATCCGGTAGCCCCCGTGGCTCCTGTATCTCCTCTTTCACCAGTCCATCCTAACTGACCTTTTGGCCCTTGAAAACCAATTGAGCCAGAATTACCTGTATTTCCAGTTCCACCCGTAAACCCTTGCATACCGACAAATCCGGACTGGCCTGTATCTCCCGTTATTCCTTTTGGACCTTGAGTTCCTTGTTGTCCAGATAATCCTGTTTGACCTGGTGAGCCAATTGAACCTATTGGTCCTGTAAATCCTTGTTCTCCTTGAGGTCCAGTTGCTCCAGTCAAACCTGTGCTTCCAGAAAATCCAAAAATTCCTGGTGAACCAGTATTTCCTGGCTGTCCTTTTGCACCAAAATTACCAGGGTCACCTTGTTCACCAGTGTTACCTTGTGCTCCCATTTGGCCGGTAACTCCTTAAATTCATTAAAACAATTAATTTATTAATGTATTTCAAAGCCATATAAAAATAATGAAAACCTTGAGCTCCTGGTAAACCCGGAAAACCAGTAAAACCCGTAGAACCCATAACTCCTGTGTCTCCTTGCAATCCAGACGAACCGGTTGATCCTGTGTATCCTTGTGTACCTCGACTTCCTTGAACACCAGTAAATCCAGTAACACCAATATTTCCTGGAGAACCTATTATTCCAGGTAAACCAGTAGATCCCTGAGCTCCAGGTACTCCTACCTGGCCTGGATTTCCAGATGATCCAGAATTTCCAGTTTCTCCAATTGAACCTTGAAAACCTGTTTGGCCCTTTGTGCCAATAGATCCTGGAGATCCGGTTGGTCCTATTTGGCCAGGAAAACCTTTGCTTCCAGTTGATCCAGTAATTCCTGAAAAACCTAACAAACCTGGCAAGCCATTTTGCCCAGTATCTCCTTGTAAACCAGTAAACCCCGTCGCTCCTGTAAATCCTTGAGATCCACCTGTTCCAGCGCTACCTGTTGCACCTTTTATTCCCGGACTGCCTATTAAACCTGTAAAACCCTGTTGACCAAATGGTCCAGTTTGTCCGAAGTTACCAGAAGAACCACGAGGACCTTCAATTCCAGGTAATCCCGGAAGACCATCTGGTCCAATTACACCTGAATTTCCTGTGTCGCCAGAACGACCAGTAAAACCTGTGTTTCCGGTGAATCCAGTTGCACCTTGCTGGCCTAGTATACCTGGTTGACCAGTTTGACCAATAGTTCCACTAGCACCTGTATTTCCAGGAGAACCATTTACTCCCTTGCTACCAGAAAAACCGATAAGTCCCGTACTTCCAGTAGCCCCAGTAAACCCTATCAATCCTGAAAATCCAGTTGAACCTTTGTTTCCTGCAGGACCAGACGATCCGATTAGTCCAGGTTCTCCTTTGGAGCCAGAAAATCCTTGAAATCCACTTGAGCCAGTTGAACCTGTTGAACCTACAATTCCTGGCGCACCTTGATTTCCTGGAGAGCCACTGCTTCCAGTGTTGCCTATTGTACCTGGATTTCCTTGAGTTCCCATTGAACCAGTTTGCCCTGTAGAACCAGTATCGCCAATAGGTCCAATGAAACCCGGAGGTCCAGTTTGTCCTTTAGATCCTTTGACCCCCGTTGTTCCAGTAGGTCCGGTATTTCCAGAAAAACCAGGATCTCCATTTGGACCACGTTGTCCTGGAGCCCCAGAAGGACCAAAAGGTCCAGTGATTCCTGTAGCACCTTTTTGACCAGGTTGACCTGTGCCACCCTGTTCTCCTCTGGCTCCTGCTCCTCCGGGATCCCCAGTCGCACCTGTATTTCCAGTAGCTCCTTGTAAACCCAATATTCCGGGCTGCCCAGCAAATCCGGTATCACCTTTCATTCCTGTTGCTCCTGTGTTACCAGTAAAACCTGTAGCACCTTGGATACCATTAGGTCCAATTTGACCCACACTTCCAGAGGCTCCAGTTGAACCTTTTATTCCAGAAGAACCAGAAAAGCCTGGTAATCCATTTTGACCTGGAAACCCTATTGGACCTTGAGGACCCTGAATACCGTTGTCACCAACGTTGCCAGTAGACCCAGTAATACCCGTGTTTCCAGTATATCCTTTAACACCAGTGGCACCGACACTTCCAGAAAAACCTGGCTGCCCTGAAAATCCAATCATTCCTGTTTGACCGGTAGATCCAGAAGATCCTGTAAAACCAGTAAACCCAGTGTTGCCAACATTTCCTGTTGATCCTGAGACTCCCATCATTCCAGTGCTACCTTGGATTCCTGGTAAGCCTGATAAGCCTGGATCTCCATTTTCGCCAGGATTTCCAGACAATCCTGTATTACCAGGTGCTCCAGTGTTACCAGTTGAACCTTGAAGGCCAGTATTTCCTGTTGTTCCAACTAATCCTGGCTGTCCTTGAACTCCGGGTTGTCCAGAAAAACCCACAAAACCAGTTGAACCTTGAGGACCAGTAATTCCTGTGAATCCAGTGTCACCTTGTCTTCCAGTAAAACCTTGTGAGCCTGAAGTCCCTGTAAATCCTGTGAAACCAACATATCCAGTATATCCCGTATTTCCAGTAGTTCCAGTTGAACCTGTGTTTCCAGGAGATCCAGGGCTACCGGTATTGCCCGGAACTCCAGGATTACCAATATCTCCAGTTGAGCCAATACTTCCAGGACTACCTATATCCCCTGTTAAATTGAAAATATCAAATATGATTATGAGTCGCTAAATATTGATTTATAAATATATATAATTACAGATAATCCTAATTGCACCGCGTGTCGAAAGTATTGTTACGGAGCGAAAATTAGTTATTAAACAGAGTTCAATGAAACATTTTTCAAAGTATAAACAAAAAAGCAGACTTTCAAATATTTGAGAATTTTTGCAACAAAATCTCTAAATTAAGTGATTTATGATTAGATAAAATTTTTGTTGGATCACGCTACAAGTAACCAAAATAAGTTAAAAATTTGGATTGATGAAGTTATGAAAGAAAAAAAATGAAGCTAGGAAGCATTTTATTTATAGATTTATTAGTAAAAACTACTCTCAATTGCTAGAAGCATTTTTGCAAAGCAATCATCAATTTGGACAAATGGATGGTTCCTTCAAATCCATTTTTTTTATTAACATCCAAACAGTAATGAGCATGGAAAAAGATTCTGGCAAGTTATTTAAGAAATTGTACAAAGCTATCAGATTTGTTAAAATGAAGCTAAGCTTGCAGATTACTGTTGGTTCCTTTGCATGGATGCTCCGAAACTTGTATACAAAAAGTTACAGAGACCACGATCTCATGACGATACTACGTAAATATTTTCAAGCATATTAGCCAGATAATCACTATTTCTTGATTTAAAATTTGTGGAATAAATTCTGTAACTTAAAATACAGAATGCACTTTTAATATTGTTAGAATATTACATATTACTTTGCTGTGAATAGATAAAATACGACTTTTAAACTAGCTATCGTGTGTTTCAGAAACTAGAGCTAATAAAAAAATTTCGTTGTAATTTTCGTTTTTTTCAACTCCAAATTAATGAAATTTGACAAACATATTAAGTAAACAAACAAAATTTTTGTGTTACGCTGTGTTTTAATGACATATGAGTAAAATCAGTAATAGCAAACAAAGTTAATTTTAATATCAAACTACATTAATACCAAAAATATCTTTGTTTGATGACATTGTTATAACCGTCACAAATGTATTCGCAGAGGCGCTAGTGTCCCTACAATCGCATTTATTTCGAGAAGGAACTAGAACCTTTTGACAGAGAAATGACGGGCTTTCGAAAAAAGTCGATAAGACGGGTATATAAAGACGTGAAAAATATCGAATGGCTGGTTGTTTGAGTCGGTCGAAAGAGATATTTGATATTTGACTGCGTTATATTTTTATTAGTGAAAGCAATAGTTTCTGAGCGTTAATTTGATAGTTTGTGAAAATTAATTAATTAACGTTGATTATTGATTTATTAATTAATTAAAGTTGATTAAAGATTAATTAATTGATTGATTAACATTGATTTTCAATTTGTAAATAAATCGATTGTTTAAAAGTTGTATAGTGTCGCTATTTTCCATTGGGGATAAAACGAACTCATCGTCGATCGGCCAGTTATAACAATAATATTTTACAATGATACTGATATGCATAAAAATTGCAATACTTATACAATAATCAGTCACATTAAATTAAAAATCAAAATAAACCTGACGGTCCTATAGGTCCATTTATGCCAATAGAACCCGTGTTGCCTGTGGCTCCAAAGGCTCCTTGTGTACCTATAACGCCTTGTTGACCAGTTGATCCGGTATTGCCTGTAAATCCAGTTTGCCCTTTGAATCCAGTAGCTCCGGTAAATCCAGTGTATCCTGTAAATCCAGTTGCCCCATTAGTGCCTGGAGTACCACTTTGCCCTGTAGAGCCTTGTTGACCTTGTTGTCCAGATTGTCCTCGAACTCCTGGTGCTCCTGATGAAGCCACGTTTCCTGGTAAACCAGTAGCACCTTGAATTCCCATAGATCCAGTAACCCCAATAGGTCCTTGGGGACCTGTTGCACCAGTTTCACCAGTAAAACCACCCCTTCCTGCCACACCTGGCTGTCCTACTTGACCAGGCCTTCCTGTATTACCAATTAAACCGAGGAATCCGGTACTACCTATTAAACCTGTGTTACCAATTTCTCCGGTTACTCCTGTATTTCCAGTTCCACCGGTATCACCTCTCAATCCTGTAGATCCTTGAGCACCATTTGTTCCAGTAGCTCCCGGTGAGCCAGTATTTCCAGGTATTCCTTGGGGACCCATTGGTCCTGTAAAACCAACAGTACCTGGCTGTCCAGTGTCACCAGTAAACCCAGTTGCTCCTGTAGGCCCTTGAAATCCAGTCAGACCCATTGGACCAATATTTCCCTGTGGTCCAATGAATCCTTTAGGACCAGTCGATCCAGTGAAACCAGTAATTCCTGTTGATCCAGTGCTGCCTGTAGATCCAGTCCAGCCTTTAAAATATTTTATAGCAAATTCAAATAATATTTTGAGTTTAAAAAATGATTTTAGATAATTCATTGCCATGAGATCAAGAAGCAATAATTATCAAATGTGTTTTTTGCTTTTTGTCACCTTTGACTAACATAACATAATGATAAAGTAAAAGGGCTAAGACCAAAATTCCAGTGATATCAAAATGGAAAATATTCAAAATAAAGTATATATATATATATATATATATATATATTATATATATATATATATAGAGAGAGAGAGAGAGAGAGAGAAAGAGAATATTTAAATTAACATAAAAGTAAATTACATAAAACAAATTATATAAAGTAAATTATACAAAGTAAAATAAATATCACTCCATCATATATACCAAGTAATATAAGAATGTAAAATATTCAAAATAAAGTAAATATATATATATATATATATATATATATATATATATATATATATATATATATATATGTATATGTATATATAGGATATTTAAAATAAATGAAAAATATCCAGAGTAAAATTAACATATCAAATAAACGCATTCATATTTAAAATATATAATTATACTGCCTTTAATGAAAATATAGATTACCAAAGTAAAATTTGTTTGAGTTTAGTTTGTTTAACTGATACCTCTAAAATACAAATAATTAAACGTTAGAATATATTAAGCTATTTTAACGCCAGAAAACAAAATATTTTAAAAATGCACTGAACGTTGCTTGCTTTTTACTTCACATTATAAATAAAAAATCTCAAAAAAAGTATAGAAAAAATTGTAATAACCGAAAGGTCCAGGAGCTCCCGTGGCTCCACTAGATCCAGTACTGCCAGTAACTCCTTGCTTTCCCGTTGAACCCGGCAAACCAGGGTTTCCAGAACCACCTGTAGCACCAACAAATCCTACCGGTCCAATAACACCAGTAGCACCAGTATTACCAGAATATCCTGTACCACCTGTAGAACCTTGAACACCAGGTAAACCATTTAAGCCAGTAAAGCCGGTAAAACCGGGGCTTCCTTGAGAACCTAGATTTCCCATTGCTCCAGTAGCTCCGGTTGCACCAGTGGCACCTGTATTTCCTGGAACTCCACCAATTCCCACATTTCCATTAAAGCCATTTGGGCCAGGTGAGCCTATAGGCCCTGTGTTTCCAGCTGGACCTTGAACACCTGGCTGGCCTGTATCTCCTGGTAACCCAAATAATCCTGTATTTCCAGGTAAACCATTAGGTCCTTGTATACCTGTTCCTCCTGTGAAACCAATAAAACCTGATTGTCCAGTGTATCCAGTTGAGCCTGTGAAACCAGTAGCCCCATTAGATCCAGGCAACCCAATTGGGCCACTTGGCCCAATATTTCCTGAAAAACCAGGTTGTCCAGAATCTCCAACAAGTCCTGTAAATCCAGTACTTCCTGATGACCCTGTTTGACCCGATTGACCTAAAAATCCATTTGGTCCAGTAAATCCAATATCTCCAGTTGCACCTGTGAAACCTGTTGAACCACTATCACCAATCACTCCCGTTCCCCCTATCTGTCCGGGCGAACCTTTATTACCTGTTGCTCCTTGAAATCCAGGTTGACCCATTTGACCAGTTATTCCAGAAAACCCAGTTGCACCTGTGGCACCTGTTGACAGTTAAATAAATCTTTTTATTAAGATAAAACTGTCAGAAAACAAAAATATATAACAAACCAATTTTTCCATTTTGTCCAGTTTGTCCCGTAAATCCTATTAAACCTGGGTCTCCATTTCTTCCTGGAACACCTGTTAAACCAGTAGAGCCTGTGTCACCTGTTGCCCCATAAGGGCCGGTTTGCCCAGTAGTTCCTTGAATACCTTTAGTCCCTATACCACCGGGAGAACCAATCGGACCAGTTATTCCTGAATTAAATCAGTAATAGTTCGAATTGCTTCAAGTTAAAAAGATTTAATATTTATTTTCTTGATGGTTGTATTAAACGTAAGACTAATTTAATTACCTGGCTGTCCAGATTGACCAATAAATCCATTTGGACCAGTAAAACCTTTTAAACCAGTAGAACCTTGAGATCCAGAAAAACCAGTTGCTCCTTGTAATCCTGTTTGCCCCATAAGTCCTATCTGTCCTGTTTGTCCTTGAGGACCTTGGAGACCTGTAAAACCGGTAAAACCTGGAACACCTGTTTGACCTGTAGAGCCAAAAAAACCAGTTACTCCATTGACACCTGGTTGGCCGGCAAAACCCGTGTCACCTGGTTGGCCAATTTGACCAGATGCACCTGAGGAACCTGTACCTCCTATAAACCCGGGATTTCCGCTAGAACCGGTGTTTCCAACAGATCCTGAAATATTTTACAGTAATATCTTTTTAAACATATGAATTGAATTTTAATATTAAACTATTTTTCAATACCTGGAGATCCAGAAAATCCTGGAAAACCAGTAAATCCTGGTTGACCAGTTGATCCAGTTGGTCCAGTAGCTCCTTTTGTGCCACTTGCTCCAGTATAGCCAGCAAACCCTTGAGTTCCGGTTGAACCAGTAGCACCAGACGCTCCTGTAAATCCAGAATTTCCTGTTTGGCCAGATGAACCCGTATATCCTGCAGATCCGGTAGAGCCTTGTAATCCTGTGGCCCCAGTATAACCATTAGTACCAGGGAATCCTGGCTCGCCTGTTTTTCCAGGTAAACCCGTGTTACCTTGCACACCTTGATCTCCGGTTGGACCTTGTTGACCAATAGATCCTTGTTCACCAGGTAAGCCTGGTTGTCCTGAATTTCCTATTTGTCCAGTTGAACCATCCATTCCTTTGAAACCGGTAAAACCTGTTGCTCCGGGTTGACCGGTAGTTCCAGTACTTCCTTGTCCACCTTTTGATCCAGGTAAACCAGCAGGACCTAAAGTGTTTTGAAAATCGATAAATCGACTTGTTCAATCATTTGATTGTGACGAGACCATTGAATTACACACAGGAATTGAAAGTAAGCACCACTTAATCTGAACATTAGCTTAGAAGCGCATGCGTAAATATATTCTATTAGCTAAGATATCACTTTAACAATGATAATAATGCATGCGTGTTGTTACTGCCGCCTGTTCTTGTTTCCAGTAAAGTTTATAATTGAAAGAATACAAAGGGGCAACATCAGTAAAACATACCATGTATCTAAGCTAAGAATAGTATACCTTGAGTTCCTTGCTGACCGGTTACTCCTGTATATCCGGTTATACCTACAACACCAGTTGCACCTGTGTAACCAACTGGTCCCAATGGGCCAACAAAACCTGACTGACCCGGCTGACCTTGAATTCCTTGAATACCGGTGGAACCCTGGTTCCCAGAAAATCCTAAATTTATTGTTTTTAAATGCTATTTCTATTAATGAAAATTAAAATTTTTAATGGTTAAAAATGAAATTTAGAATGTATAAAGACAGACCCGTGTATCCCGTTTGTCCAGGTGTACCTTGTGCACCTTGAACTCCGCTAAAGCCAGTACCTCCTGTATTTCCTTGTATACCAGTAGCCCCTGTCATTCCATTTAAACCCGGCAGACCAATTTGACCTGGTTGACCTTGTTGTCCGGTTCCACCAGTTGTTCCAAGTATTCCAGTCAGGCCAGTAGAACCAGGTAAGCCTAGTGGTCCTATGGCTCCTGAAAAACCTTGTAATCCAGTCGATCCTTGAGAACCTGATCCTCCAGTGTCACCTGTGAAACCTTGTGAGCCACTGGGACCAACAGGCCCTAACTGTCCAGGTATTCCTGACAAGCCAGTAGATCCTTGTTGTCCAGGAGATCCTATTTGTCCTGTATTTCCAACTGATCCAGTTGATCCGGGAGAACCTGTGAAAGAATAGATTTATGACTTAGTTTACATTGTCTATCGTTTTGTTGCGATCCAATTTTGCTGCATCACATCGGAGACCGCCCCAGTATATTTAAGATAATTAGGATTTTGACTGTCTTATTTCTATTGCAATTTATTGAAATATAAATACATTTTTACTCAGCGAGTATTATATAAAAAAAAGTTATTTTTCATAATATTGCGATTATACATTTTTTTCCCTTTATGTTAATCGTATTATCGTGTGCGTATATTCGCAGCAATGTGAGAAAACATTTTAAGTTTTTATCGATAGTTAAAGAAAAGAAAACATGAGGAAATGAACATCTGTTTAAAAACGACTGAATTTTATTTCTCGTTTAACAATTGCCGTAAATAATTTTTGTGCCAATGATGGAGCGTTAGTTACCAATGGCTAGAACAAGTATTTCAGGTTTTCTTTAAATAATTTAAGTTAACTTTTAAATAAAATAATCAGCATGCTTCATATTTTCAGTTAATAAACCACCAAACCCAAGCAACGTGTGGCAGTCTATATTCTGCCGGTTGTACGTGGATAGAATTTATTTTTCACCTACATCAATTTAATTTTTTTACTGTTAACAGCATTTTATTCTTTATTAAATCACATATAATCAAACGAGCGTTATATGTTTCTAGCTACGTTACTATAAAAATGTTTTATATTGACAAATTGTATAAATTACATTAATATTTTGAAATATTACGAAACGTAACTGCTCATATATATATATATATATATATATAAATATATATATATATATATATATATATATATATATATATATATATATACTATAAATTCTACCGAATGTTTGGCGTTAATATGTCGTTAAGTTAATGTTTGTAGTTCGTTTTTTCGATTTTTCTCACTAAAGTTTTTTGGAGAACGTTTAGTTTATTAAAATTCAAAATAAACTTATTTTTCGAATTCATGCTGCAAATAAAGCCATATTTCAATTTCTAATGAATCATCATCAGTGCAATTTAATTTATTAAGGGAAATATTCCCTTTGTCAAAGTAAACATAGATGGAAGTTAGGCGTTAGATTTCTTTATTGGCTGGTCCATCTTCGTTTGTTTCCTTTTCTTCATCGATAGCATCATATTCTTCTTTGTCATTATTTAAAATGCTAATTTTTATTACTTCTTTGTTTTCATGTTGATTAAGCGCCGGGTTGGGATTTTTGATTTATTGATGTCAATTAGGACTGCTTCTGCAATTTTAAGATGCGTGTAGTTGGTGTTCTGGTATATTACTTTGACGTTGCTGTCAAGAATTTCACGGCTTATAGTGATTGAGTGTGTTGAGTTCAAATGAGATTTGATAGCACCACTCTGTTTATGCCTCGTAAGACTTATGAGTCATGTTGACGTGCACAGCCGTCAAAAGGGCAATTAAATTAATATATTACGTGAATTACAATAAAGAGACGTCTTACCCAATACTGAAAAACAACTCACCTAATACTGAAAAACAACTGTAGTCCTAGAGATAACTCTGTGTCACTGCGTAGTCACGCCTTACAATGCATAAACAGAGTGGTGCTATCAAATCTCATAGTTCATGTTCACCTCAATTTAACTTTTCGATTTTTCTAGCGGTTGATCGTTAATCATTTTCAAGTTTTTTTAATTCAAAACCAAAATTTTGTTTATTTTATGCATGATAGAATAGAAAAGCTTTTTCCGGTATTCCTATACCATCTTCGGTGTTCAAATTGATATGTTGTGTTTGTGCCCAGAGGCTCAAATATATACTGTTCCTCTACTCTACTTTGTTAGTTCATTGTTTATTTAAAATGAATTGTCTAGGAGATCCTATTTAGCCTGTATTTCATTCTGATCCAATTGGTCCGATAAGAAAATATTTTTAGCAGCTTGTGTGAAATATTAGACAGAGTTCCCAGATTTTAATGTAAAGAAAGGAAATAGCAACAAGCGCAAACAGATAAAAATGAATTCCGTGGTTTATAAAGGTGGAAAAATAATCTCGACTAAAATTAGGATATAATAATAATAATATAAAATGTCAAAAATTGCTTTGATCCGTGCCAAACATTGTCATTCACGCAGTGATGTGCTTCACGCACTGCAAATCTAAGCGAAAAAGAACTTAATAAATTTTAATTACGAATTTGCCAGGCATAGTGTGATTTTGTTTTTGTTGAAATTTTTAAATTTGATTCAATTAATGAAATGATGTGTTGTTAAAACTCAAAAATGTTTTTTGTGGTTTCCATACAAATTTCACAGTGCGCAAGCACGGAACGAAGCTTTAGCGTAATAATTTAATATCCTTGATAAAATAAAAATAAATTTTATGAACAATAACATAAAAAACTATCTTAATAATATTTAATAAAGCCTCACCTGTGGCACCAAAAACGCCAGTAGCGCCTTGTGCTCCTGTTGAACCAACTGGACCAGTTGGCCCAATAGTTCCGCTTGATCCTGGCTGACCTTGCAGTCCCGTAAATCCAGTCCCACCGGTAAAGCCTGTTGAACCAGTTCCGCCAGCTTGGCCTGCATTGCCAGGAAGACCAGTAAAACCAGTCGCTCCTGGTGTACCAGTGTTTCCGGTATAACCTAAAAGTTTTTTTTCATATTTTATGCAAATTAGTTTTAATAATTCAAACAACAAAAATATATTTTTTTAAAACTAACATTTGATCTGTATATTATTGAACAATTTCAAGAAGGGACTCAACTTTTCATGAATAAAAATTTTGCATTTTACACAGTACGTAATGAGACATGTTGGAATTCTAGACAATTACATTTTTGACGTTCTATATAACTTTATTTCTTCATATTGAAAAGCGTTATCAAAAAATTTAGCACGGTGGGCTAATAAATATTGTTCATCAACGAAAAATTTGCAGACATTAAATTTTTTTATGAGTAGGCTAAACAATATTATTATCAATTGATAACATTTGGAAATTAATTACTTCTGCATCAAAATTTATTACTCAGTACACTTGATATGGCTTTCACGTCAGACAATATAATTTTGGCAATGCTAAGAAAAAAGCTAAACCCTTCAAACAAATATCTTACAAACTTAAAGTTTAAAATTCTATTAATAAATCGTATAATGAACTCACCAGGCATTCCCATAATACCGTTCATACCAGTTGCCCCAGTAAAACCAGTAAATCCCGGTTGTCCAGTGGAACCAGGAAAACCAATTGGTCCAGAATTTCCTGGTCTCCCTCCTTCACCAGTTGCACCAAAAGAACCAGGAACCCCAGATGATCCTGTGAATCCGGTCGATCCTATGAAGCCTGACTGCCCAGTAGCGCCCTGTTGGCCAGTTGGTCCCGTGTATCCTTGTGCTCCCTGGAGTCCTTGACTTCCACTAATTCCAGTTGCACCAGTTCCACCGGTAAAACCAGTATTACCAGTATTTCCGGTAAAACCTGTTCCACCTATAGCTCCAGGTGCTCCATTAAATCCAGGTTGTCCTGTTGCACCTGTTTGACCAGGATTTCCAGTCTGACCAGAAAAACCAATATATCCAGTGTTGCCTTGTTGTCCTTTTTCACCCTGTAAACCTGTAGGACCTAAAAACCCAGAAGTTCCTTGAGTTCCTCCCGCACCAGGAAAGCCTGAAATCCCTGGTGGACCAGTGAATCCCTGCTGACCGGGCTGGCCTAAATGTTTAAAATTTGAATATTTCAAATATTTCAGTTTACATTCATTTATTTAATATTTAAAAAGTTTTGTTGAAGCAAATAAAAAAAATTCAACAATTTATTAATTGCACTGAAATATATATAGAAATTGAGCTATACTATTAACCAAAATGTTGACCTGTGAACGTTCCGTCATTATACTATATTTAACTGTTGTAGATATCATTTTCTCAAAATTCAATGCACTAGTTTAAGTAGATGTGCAACCTTAATGCTACTCTTGTCTCGCTTCCGGTAAAGTTTATGATGAGAAAAAACAACGCAATATAAATCATAAAATACCACGGCTGACTGTTTCTAAGCCTGGCTGCAAATTTAAAATTTGATTACCAAATTGTATTTAGATATATTTTTTCTTCCTAGAATTTATATCGTAATAGGTAATATTGCTTTTTATCATATAATTTTTGCAGACTGGAAAATTTGGTACTTTAAAAAAGTATTTTTTATATGTTGATAGCATAAAAAGTTCTACCATTTGAAAACACCCCACTTTATAAATTTGTGGCAAGAATTCCACTGACCACTGAATAAAAATGACTAACAATTTCTACATATGAACCTCAAATAAAAACGAAAGTAAAATAGAAAATATTCGATGCTATAAAAACAATTTATCGTGTAGAAAATATAAAAATTCAATTATAAAAAATTGATCAGGAACAATAAATTTAATGGAAGCCTTAAAAATACTGTAGTAAGCAATTATTGAGAAGTAATTAAAAATGTTGTACTAACTAATTTAGAATAAAGTAGTTATTAACTTATTTATTTAAAATATTTCAATAATAGAACAGTAAATAAACATTTGTTGCTTACCTATGGAACCAGTTTGGCCTGTATAGCCGATTTGACCGGTAGATCCAGTATCGCCAATTGATCCAGAAACTCCTCCACTTCCTAGAGCACCTGTGGCTCCAATCGCCCCAGTTGCTCCAACTGATCCAGTTTGACCCATTAAACCTGAACTTCCTTGAAAACCAGAAAATCCTGGATTACCGGGATTTCCAGTATTTCCTATGCTACCACTTGAGCCAGTATTTCCAGGCAATCCTTGGTTACCTGTATTACCTGATAATCCAGGTTGTCCTTGTTGCCCTTTATTTCCACTAGAACCAGTAGCACCGATTATTCCTGGTGCACCAATATTTCCTTGTTGTCCACTAAAACCGGTTTCTCCTGTATTTCCTACTGGGCCTAATATTCCTGTCCGTCCAGTGGGGCCAGGAGATCCCGTTAACCCACTTGCACCAGTGAAACCTGTAAAACCATTTACTCCTGTACGTCCTGGTGATCCAGTCCAACCAGTGAAACCAGTCAAACCGGCTGAACCTGTAGGACCTATTTGACCCGTTGAACCTGCTACTCCTGCGTTTCCTGCTGGTCCGGGTAATCCAGTAGAACCTATAAAATTTAATTTTTCATTATTTTTTTTGCTGGTTTTTTTGAGTAAAAAATATGATATAATTAATAAAAACTGCAAAATTAACCTTGTGGGCCTGGATACCCAGGAAACCCAGAAAATCCAGAATCACCAACACTTCCTGTCATTCCAGGTGAACCATTAGGACCCGGACTACCTGTTCTTCCAGTGGCTCCACTGCTGCCATCAAATCCAGGGTTTCCATTAGGTCCAACCACACCAGTGGCACCTGTTGCGCCGGTAAATCCAATGTTTCCTGGTTGTCCTGAAAAGCCCATCGTACCAATATTTCCTGTTATACCAGTTGCACCAGTAAAACCTTGATTACCAGCCAACCCAGTTGATCCTACCGGACCAGGAACTCCAGGAAAACCTGACATTCCAGTCCCCCCGATAGGTCCTTGGGGGCCTGAAAAACCGGTGTCTCCCGTAAATCCTTGCTGACCGTTAATGCCATTTGGCCCCGTAGCACCTGTTTTCCACAACAAAAAAGATAATTTAAAAAATTTTAATGGTTATTAAAATTATATGCAACAGTTTTTGTTTGTATATTATGGTTAAGCAATTTTAGAACACATAAAGCCGTGAATACGATCTGTCTGCTGAATGTGGGATAAGCAATATTATCCATAAAATTGTGTGTGTGTGTTAAGTGCTCATCAAATTTTTACGTACAAATATGCATGCATCTTAAACGATAATGTTTCGTATTTTTCAAGTTTTAGTGAAATAGCTTTCAAACTGGGACACTACAAAACTATTTATGGGAAAAATAACAGTTTGACAGCAATCTTGCCGTCTTACATAACATGCCAACTGTTAGAATATGTATAAATTCAAAATAAAATAAAACAATACCTAATAATCCAGGCAAACCCGTTTGACCAGTCATACCTCTTGTACCAGAAAAACCTGTAGAACCTGTAATTCCCGTAAAGCCTGGCTGACCAAAAGGACCTATTTGACCGGTGAATCCAGATAAACCAGAAAAACCGCTACTTCCTTGTAAACCATTATTTCCTGTTGCACCTGTGCTACCAGTAAATCCAGTGTTACCAAAATTTCCTGAGTTTCCCGTGAATCCAGTAGCGCCTGGAAATCCAGGAAATCCAGATACACCAGTCCTTCCCGTAAGACCTGTCGGGCCAGTGTTACCCGCTGGCCCTGAATCACCAGTTTGTCCCTGCACACCTGTTCTTCCAAGACTTCCAATAGAACCTGTCATTCCCGGCTGTCCTGTTGATCCTGTGTTCCCCGTCCAACCTTGAATTCCAGTTTGACCTGACGAACCTAAATTTTAAACAAAATTTGATGCTTTATTAGTGTCTAATAAAGTTAACGAGTTTGTGAATTTGGCTACAATAATGCTTTGCATAGTTTAAATAAATGATATAGTTTTAATTCAAATGGTTACAAAATATCTTAATAAATAATTTTCATTTACTGAATTTATTGAAGATTTAAGATTACATTTTTTGCTTTTGTATTATCATTGTTGATTGTGGCGAATATTGTTTATTACCACGTTTATATTAATTTGTAATTTCATATTTAATTTTAATTTAATCACACAGCTGACCAGAGGACCATAAAGAACCACTTACCCAGTCGGGAAAAACAAAATATACTTTATTACAACTAAACAAAATGGCAAATATAAAAATAAATGAAAACATTGCAACTAAGAGTGCCATCCTTTCTATCATTGTCGTTCAGGTTATAAATGTATAGATAAGGCTAAGGCTAGATAAGGTAAAAGGTAAAATAGCATACGTTGGTTGATTGATACAATATTTCAAAAACCATAGATAATCATAATACAATCTTATTGAGATAGAGTAATAAACAATAGTATTTATACATAACATTATAGAAAATCTTTTAAAACTAGTTTGGCTGAATTAATAACAGTTAAAAAAAGTAGTTAATTCAATTTATCTTTCCACAGTTAGGAAATGTTTAAAATTGACAATTAAATTTATAACATTGTTTGTCTGTTTAAAGATTTTAATTTCGTTAACATAACAATAATATATAAATTTAAGTATGTTACTAATACATATATGTAATTTATACATGTACGTGTAATGTGTAACTTTTTATTTGTTACTAATATACATAATTCTCGTAAATTGTAGCATAAATGGCCCACAGTGATAATTACTTTAGTTAAATTTTGTTAACATACTAACAACTGTACTGACACTTATGTTCTTTTCGTTAATATACTAATATTATGTAATTTAAAGTTAAGGTGGCTTTACCGGTGAGTCATTTAAAGTCCCTTTACTTTTGTTTTGAGGTCGAATAAAATGTATTGTTTTATATTTTTTCGATAACTTCTATAAATTGTCTATTTAAGCTGAAATTTGAATATTCGCTCATCTCTGATGACTATGCATTAACAGAATTTAGTTGAGCCAAATTAATTATTAAACTTATGAATAATAATTTAATATAAATATACAAACGGTCGCCCGACGTTAGGAGTATTTTTTTAAATAATAAGCAACTAGCTAGTAATAAATTTTATAAATATTTCACATATGTAAAAATGGTTTTAAGTAGGCCTAATTTTTGTTTAGAAGAAATACAAAGCAAGTAATTTTGAAGGCATATCATAAATTTGAAAAAAAAATAATATTTGAATTTTTGTAGAAACCTAATTATTAAAAATAGTATATATATGATTGTGGTATTTTAAAAAGATAGTGGTCAATATGCGCAGATATTCTAGTACAATCAAATCACCGGTCTTGTTATAATATATTCCAAAGTTAAATTTAGAACTATCAACTAAACCAAATATTTCGGACTTAACTTAGATTAAATTTGTATTTAAAACTTGAATAATTAAAACTCTGTTGTTGAAATGCGATCATCACAAATCAAACCTGAAAATCCTGGCAAACCATTGTTTCCTCCAAATCCAGAAGAACCTTTTAAACCAGTAGCACCAGTGCCACCAGTAGCTCCTTGCAAACCAAAAACACCTGTTACTCCAGTGCTACCTACAAACCCAGGTGATCCTGAACTACCTGTGTTACCAGTCGCGCCAGGTGATCCGACAATTCCTATGGGTCCAGTGTTTCCGGTATATCCAATACTTCCAGAAAACCCTTGTTGACCAGTGGATCCACTTGATCCGGTGGCGCCTTGTGCACCAGTTTGACCTGGGGTTCCTGTAAAGCCAGTTGCACCAGTATATCCTTGATTACCTGGATTTCCAGAAGCACCAGTTATACCTTGAACTCCAGGATTTCCTGGGAAACCCACTTGACCGGTCGAACCACTTATACCTGTATCTCCCTGAAGTCCAGGAAATCCTGGCAAACCTTAATATCAAAAACAAAATTTCAATTTTTATAATTAATATTTAAAAGAGTAACTTTTCAGTTTTTACCTTGATTTCCAGTTATTCCCGGATTACCTATTGGACCGAAATTTCCTGTGTCACCAATTCTTCCGGTATCACCTTTTATTCCTCTTGGACCAGAATAACCAGTTCCTCCAGGTGAGCCGATTGCACCAGAAAATCCAGTTGCTCCACTGCTTCCAGAAATACCAGTTGCACCAGGAACTCCTTGTGCTCCGGCGTTGCCAGTGTCGCCTGTTAAACCCGGAGCTCCAGGATTGCCTGAAAAACCAGGAGCTCCAATAGACCCTTTGACTCCAGTTCTTCCTGTTGGTCCAGTAGAACCTATTGATCCAGTATTTCCAAGCGGCCCCGTAAATCCTGGAACTCCTGTTCTTCCAACAATTCCCAGTGGACCAGTGGCACCTGAAAATCCTGGTAATCCAGGCACGCCATTGTTTCCATTAGGTCCTGGAAATCCAGGAGTGCCAATAGAACCCTGAGGTCCAATAGGACCAGGTAGTCCAATAGGACCAGGTAATCCACTTGCACCTGGTAGTCCAGCTAAACCTTGCTGGCCGGAAGAACCAGTTTGTCCTTGAGTTCCAGGATTACCAGGTAGACCAACTGGACCAGTAATACCAGTGTTTCCTATAAATCCTGTTGAGCCTGTATAACCAGGCTGACCTGGATCTCCAATTCTGCCCGGTAAACCAGTAAAACCTTGTAAACCCTGGAACCCAGTAAACCCTGTATCTCCTTGGCCTCCACTTATTCCAACAACTCCTGTCATGCCACTTGGTCCTTTTGTACCTGTGTTTCCAGAAGGACCCTTTATTCCTGGGTTACCTTGGGGACCCAATGAACCAATTTGACCATCCAATCCTGTTGCTCCTTGTAATCCTGTTGCTCCTTGAGTACCTATAGATCCACTAGTTCCTGTTGATCCCTGCAATCCTTAATTGTAAAAATAACTGTCATTATTTAATTTAATTATAGTAATTATAAATAGAAAAGAAAAGCAACAAAGATAAAAACTAATTTTTTTAAACGATTATTATTCTATATTAGTCATTAAAAATATTTGATTAACAATTCAAATGTATACCTGTTGATCCTGAAAAACCTGTAGCTCCAACTGATCCAGAATTTCCAATTTGTCCAACAGGTCCACTTATACCTTGTGAACCAGTGGCCCCACTTAAACCTGGAGCCCCAACCAATCCAGTATTTCCAACTAGACCAGTTGAACCTTGTAAGCCAGAACTTCCTGTATTTCCAGTAAATCCTGTAGCACCTTGAAAACCTTGAGTTCCTACAGGGCCTTGAAAACCAGGAAACCCTTGAGGACCAGAAAACCCTGTTGTTCCTTGTAAACCTGACTGACCAGTTTGTCCTGCAGAACCTTGTTGACCTTGTTGACCCTGTTGACCAAATGAGCCTGTAGATCCAACGCCTCCTTGGCTGCCTGTAAACCCAGAAAAACCAGTAGCACCCGTATATCCAGTATTACCAGTTGAACCACTTGCACCCGTTGATCCAATTTGTCCTGGGCTACCTGTATAACCTTGTTCACCTTGACGACCTGTGTTACCTGTGATTCCTGTAAAACCAGTATTTCCGGATAAACCTGGTTGTCCTGTTTGTCCAATTGCACCTGGATTACCTGCTGGCCCACGTAAACCTTGAGTTCCTTGAGCTCCATTAATTCCCGGATTTCCAGTGGGACCTGTTTGACCATCTTGTCCTGGAGGTCCTTGTAAACCAGTTGCTCCTACTTCTCCAATTAATCCAGTTGATCCAGAAAATCCTGTAGATCCAGATGAACCAGTAAATCCAGTGGAACCCGTAATTCCTATAACTCCAGTTTTACCAGCTAATCCAGTTGCACCTTGGACACCTGTTTTTCCACTTAAACCTTGATCTCCAGGTAAACCAGTTCTGCCAACTGAACCTGATGCACCTATTGCTCCTGTTGGACCCACAGGCCCTGGCATGCCTGATGCGCCTTTTAAACCAGTAGCTCCAATAGACCCCGTTGACCCTACTCCTCCGTTTAATCCTGGCAGTCCTAAAACGCCAGTAGCGCCAGTAAATCCAGTAGAGCCAGGATCTCCAGGTTGTCCTGAAAAACCAGTAATGCCCTGTTGACCGTTTGGTCCAGGATAACCAGAATAACCTGTGCCTCCCAAAGTTCCTTTAAACCCTGTTCCACCTGTTGGCCCTGGGTTTCCTTGTGGTCCTATATTACCAGTACTACCAGTGATACCTGGTTGACCTCTTGAACCAGTAAAACCTGTATAACCAACATTTCCTGTATCACCTGTAGCACCTGTTTTACCTGTTATTCCAAGATCTCCCGTAGCTCCAGTTTTACCGGTTAATCCTGTTGCTCCCGGAACACCTGTTTTTCCCAATGTACCCTGAATGCCGTTTGAACCTGTTCTTCCAATACTTCCTTGCTGTCCTTGTTGTCCAGGTGGCCCTGTATTACCAATTGATCCTGAGATTCCAGTAGCTCCTGTAGCTCCTACGGAACCGGACAAACCTGGAGTTCCAGGTGTTCCAGTGTTTCCTGGGTCACCTGTTGATCCTTTAATACCAGGTATTCCATTTAATCCTGGATTACCAGGAAGTCCAACAGATCCTGTAAAACCTGTTCCTCCTGTATTACCAGATTGTCCAATAAAACCCGTGTTTCCCGTAAAACCCTGTTTGCCTGGATTTCCACTATTCCCTTCAAGTGTAAAATAAAAAAAGTTTAGTGTTAGTTAGTTTTTAATTTGTTAATTATTGATAACAAATTGGAAAAAAAACAAACCGCGTACCCGTAAACCCAGTGTAACCAGTATTTCCTAAAATTCCTTGCACCCCTGTTTGACCTGTTAAACCCGTTGCTCCGGGAACTCCAACTGAACCCATGCTACCCGTGAAACCTGTGGCACCAGTTGGTCCATTACTTCCTAAAGTTCCAGTGTCACCTGTGCCCCCAGAAGATCCAGTCCATCCAGTATACCCCAAAGAACCTGAACCACCATTACCAGGTGGACCTTGAGCACCTTGAGGTCCTGTTGCTCCTGGAGTTCCTTTTGAACCTAAACTTCCATCACTCCCTGTATTACCAATTGTCCCAGTATTACCAGTAAATCCGGTAAATCCTGTAAACCCAGTAAACCCAGTAAAACCTTTTATGCCAGTTTGGCCACTAGGACCAATATTTCCAGAACCTCCTGGTTGTCCAACCGGACCAGTGCTACCTGTTGCACCAGTAGGTCCAGGTAGTCCGGAAACTCCAGTGATGCCAGTCCAGCCTGTATCACCCGGTTTATTTTCTCCTACGGTTCCAGTCGCTGACGAACCAGGCAAACCAGGATCACCAGTAGGGCCAGTGAATCCTTTCAATCCCGTTGCACCAAATGTTCCTTGCAAACCTTTTGGGCCTTGATTTCCAGTCGCCCCTACTGCACCGAGAAAACCACTGTTTCCTGTGTTTCCAAACAATCCTGGTGCACCTGACGATCCTGTTCCACCTATTGCCCCTGGAACTCCATTTAATCCCGTGTTACCCGAAAAACCACTATTGCCTGTAGCTCCAGGTGACCCAGGAGAACCATTCGGACCAGGTAGTCCAGTGGCGCCAGTATCTCCAATTCCTCCACCAGTAGCAGGATTACCTGGAGGTCCAGTATTTCCGATATTACCAGGAATACCCTGAGGGCCTTTATCTCCTGTTGCTCCTGAAAATCCAATTAATCCTGGCAAACCAACTGTTCCTGGTTCTCCAGGATTACCTTTTAAACCAGGTAACCCGTTCATGCCTGGTGGACCTGCTGGACCAAGTAATCCTGTAGGACCGGTATTACCAGTGCTTCCTTTAGAAGAAGGGCCTGGAGCTCCAGATGGACCACGATTTCCACTTTGTCCTTTTCAATTTTTTTAGAATTAGAGTATAAAATTAAACAGTTGACTATTAATATATGATTGTATATACCGGGTGGTCCTATTGGTCCAGATATTCCTGTAGCTCCAACGTCTCCCGTTGAACCTGGTAAACCAGGTGGGCCAACCAAATCTGCATATTAATTGTATTTTTTTGAAGTAAAAAAAAATTTTTTTTTAAAATTTGTTTGCTCACTCAAATCCATTTCAACCGCGATAGAAAACACAGATGGAAGAGGTATCGCAACAAAGTTAACTGTTGAATTTATTTCAGGAAAAGGCCGTGTATCATTGATAATAACGAAATATGTTTTATGAGGCGCATATTCAAAAGTTATTAAGCCATAGTTTCCTTCACATGTCCAACCAATTCTATCACCAGCTACAGTTGTGAATGAGTTGTTCAGTTTAAACTGAAAATAAATGTTAAAATAATTTATATTTTGTTAGTTTAAAATTGATTTTTGCCTCATGTTTTTAAATTGTTCATTAATTATGTATAATTTTAAAAATTAAAACTTAAATATAATAGCGACAATTGAAATATTTGTTAAATTATTATCATACGCAGTGTATCACCGAACGAAAGGCCGGTCAAAAAATTATTTACTGTATAAAATGCTCCAGTTCTAAGTCTAGGAGACACTTCTACTAATTGTTGCCAGACTAGAATCAGTTGAGGAATATTCATTTCAGATGGTCTCCATATCTGAAGGCGAATCCTTTTATCCTCCGGTTGCACATTTTCAGTTTGGTTCGAAATAAAGAGAAAAAAACGAATTATTTTACCCGTTGGCAAAATTGTTTCCATATCAACCCATGATCTTTTTGCTACGGAAGGAAGATCTGCGGTTCTTACTGTTACGTTGTTTCCAAAATAATTTTTGTCATTTTGGGCATTGAATATCAAGCCAGTATCTAAAAATTTTAAATGCAGACATATAAATTTTATGGAAATTTATGGAAAAATAAAACTAATTAGCTTACCGTATTTTACTGATTCAGGCTGTAAAACTGAAAATATTTAATTAGTTTTAATGAATAAAATGGTTATTTTGAAGTATAAAAATATTATGCATCTAAATATTTTTATAAAATTATTTTTGGCAATTAGACTTTAGACAAGTTGGCTGTTAGCAATATGTTTATAAATTGCTCGTGGTAATGACTTTTACGCGTTTTTCGGAGTTTCAAGTTGTTGGTTAAATCAATGAAATGAAAGCACATGATTACTCTGGTTTTAATAATTTAAGCTCGGTCGAATTGCAGCAAGGGAAAAGTGATTTAAACTTGTAAAAATTATATAATAAAAAATCAATACTGCACGTAAATGTGATCTGTCCAGTTAACAGAACAAAATTTGAAAAAAATAATTTCATTCTCTTACAAAAAAAGACAGAAAGCAATAAATCATTAAAATTTGCAGTTTAAGAGAGCGCATTGAATTTTTCAGGAAACTATCAAGCGTTTTTTCTAGTTCATGCAAACAGCATTTTTGTAAATGAAATTTGATATTTGTAAATTATAAAAATTTAACATTTTGACTGACCTGTCAGTTGGGCGGTTGTGGTAGATAAGAATGTCCAAACAAATAAAGCGATCCCAGCGCCAAAATGCTCTTGAACCTGACAATGTAGCATGACATGTATATTTTGTTATTTTACTATTTTATCGAATATTTAAAATTTGAAATATTTATCAATCTGTTGCTTTCGTGTGGTTGGACCAGCCATAAATTCGTGCTTCATCAAAATGCTACATTAATATTATTTCAAATCGTGGTGGATGATTTTATTTTTGTCGTCACTTGATATATTCAATCACGAATAGAATGAATATAGCTGAATGTCTCAGCTGAACAATGCTTTACGATTGTTCAGGACTATTTGTATGAATTTTCATTCTTGCACATATGAAATACAATTTAACTTAGTTCATGAAAACGTACTCCAAAGAACGAATAGTGGTTATTCATATATTGCAAATGAAATGTTTAATATCAGTGTAGGCAATGTTCGAACATTTTTTGCACGGCGAACATTTATCTGACGAATGCATTTGAACATTCCTAAGCCATGTCTGTCGTCATTTTCACAATAATCAAATTATCTGCTTTGAATTTATCGGAGATTTCATACACGAGTGTTTAAACAAATATAATTATTATGTCATTTTAAGCCAGGAAATTTTTGATGTATCAAAGTTTAACATTAAAGTAAGTTATTTAATTTACAAATTAGCAGGATTAAAAACAATATTTATTTCAGCATAAAAAATTTGTTCTATTAAATATTAAAACGCTGTTAAAAGTAAATAACTAAATACGAAGTACTGTTTAATAGACTTTTTGATTTATTTCCAATTTTAATATTTTATATTCAGAGAGAAATTTAAAAACTCTGATTTGAAATTCAAGGGTGAACATTGTGTCATTAGTTTTCCAACAAGTTCAGCTGCAATGCAATAGTGAATTGAATATAACATAATGTTCTCAAATCAATGTCATATATGCTTTGATGCACGCTCGATATATTATGTAAGGTAAGCAGGCTTGATGGGTTGAACCGCTAACAAATCTTAAGGCACTGATGGCAATGCAATTTTGCCTAAATGCAGAAGCTTATGACCGGGTAGGCGCCGCCACAAAATGAGACATTTTCAGACCTCATCAGGTTTTCTATCAAAATATTTGGATGAAAAAAAACAAGTTCATTTTTCAAAATGCTTTTCCTACAGGAAAAATTTTGATTATCCTTATTTTGTCAATTTTCACAAACGCAGAAGTTACCAGGGAGTTAAATTTCTAAATGAAGTCTCATGTCATTTTAAGTTTAAAAATAGCATAACAGCAAGATCAAACTATTGCAAAAAAAGTTAGTCCAAACCTGCTAAATTCATTTTTGCAAGCTTTCAACACGATAGCTGACCATATTCTTTTTTCGATTTTTGTTAAAGTAAAAGTGCATTTGTTCGTAACATTTTAGCGAAGAGTTTGGGTTAAGATTAAGGTGTAACTTACTTGAATTAAATGATCGATTGAAAAATGATATTTTTTCATTAAAAGTTATTTGTTTGATTCTGTTGAGATCAGGATTGAAAAAGATAGGGCATTAAATGGTTAAATGGTTTACAATGTTCACTTTAATTTAATGCCCTATAAAAACGAAAAGTTATAATTTAATAAATAAATAAAAACTAAATTACAGAATTTCAGATTAAATTTCATTTCAAACCCCGTTTTTTCACAAATATATTTAGACAGCAAAAAAAATATTTCAACAGCCCAGCTTCGTAAAAATTCGCAACTCAATCTTCAATAAAAGTATATTTTATTAAGATAAATTTTGTAATTATAATTTGTTTTTGCATTATATTACAATTAAAAATTATAACACTCACCATATTTGGGCTTTAGATGCGAACGAACTTTTCTATTTTACTCCTACCGAATTTTCATAATAGGAGATTTCATAATAAGTTAATTGAAAGTCTCTAGAAGTAATTAATGAATGAAATAATCCAGTTATCCTACAAAGAGTTTATTTCTAGTTATTTTTTAAAAGTTTTCAACAAACAAGTTGAAGAAATTATTTAAAAAGGTTCTCCTCTGATTTAATGGCAACAGTAAGGTAGGTCAACGAACAAATGGCTCAACAAACAAATCGCTCACCGAACGTTAATGCTATAAGAAAGCATTAATGAATGGTGAATGTGAAGCTACAAAACATGTTAACACTATCACGTCCACCGCTCAACTACTAAATGCCATATCGAAATCATTTAAAGCAGATGTTAATATAAGTATTCATATACCAAATAATAATTTCTTACCAATATATCTTTTGACATTCAATAAAAATAATGCTTGCCACGAATTACATGTTTGGTATGTTGCCTTTTATTATTTATACGTGACAACATGTCGTTTAAATTGTTTCTTTTTATTACACAAATTGTTTTTTGTCTCGACAAAATTTATAAACTAAAAACATACTGATTTGGCACGTTTTTGAAAACTGATTTTACGCAATCATTCATTATATTTTGTATCGGCGTGGCAAATTAATAAAATTCAGCAAGCAGCAGGACTGAATATTCTTTGAACATCTCCTTTTAAATGTAAAGATGGACTTCCATTTTTTTAACTTGAGTTACATATTTATATGAAATTTGGTTTGCCACAAAAATGCCAGTTGGTATTAATAATTATGACCAACGAGGGTTAAAAATAATCTTCGTGATCCTGCGTTGTCTGTTATTCAACTTCGTAAAAGGTTGAAACACCATCTTTTTGTCTAATCTTACCAGTACTAATATTTCTTTCCCCATTCACTGCATTGTCTTAGTAAAGGGCTATGCAATGACTGCAATATTAGTTAGCGCCTCTGAGATCTTTTTAAAGGCGCTTAAACACACCAATAACAATAATAATATAAATGATAGTTAAACATTTTCAAAGCTGGTCACCAATTAGCAGGAAATATTCAAAATAGCTAAATTAAATTCGCCCGCCCACACGCAGAGGTACGCACGCGCGCGCACACACACACACGCACACACATACACACGCACACACACACACACACACACACACACACATATATATATAAACTGTACATATGTATAGGTATAATATATATATATATATATATATATATATATAAAATAAACGATATCGTGCAATCGCTCTATACATGTTTAATGTGCAAGTAGCAATATGTGTGCAAGCAAGCAAGTTTGAAGAAGCGTCGGTAAGAAATAATTAGCTTGCAAGCACACACATGTATGAACACACGTATTAACTCAGTCTACAATAGATTTAAAGTCTGCAACTTGAAGCACCAGAGAATGCGGACTTGTCTATTTGCAAGTTAATCCGCGCGTCGTTACGGTCTGGTAAACATCTGTGCACTTTTTGCGGTTAAATGTGTGCGTGCATGCATATAATGGACGAGTATGTTTTTGTTTCTAATTATTGAGATATGTGTTTAGGAATTTTTCTAACTTTTAAATTTTATTTTTTAAAAAATTGTCCTTATTTGACATTTAATTCAAATAAAATTTTAAGTGGATGTTTTTAAATCGTGTGCTATGCAAAGTTATTTTATGAATTTTTTCGAGGAGCCACAAAGCATTTCCACGATGTTACTCAGCATATCGGCGGACATTTTTACATTCGACTGACTACACTTTCTAGCTTTTCAACTTTACATAAATAAATAAATAATTTGTAAGCAGGTAAGCATGCATGACCACCAAGATATAGCTAAGAGTGGCTTTGTTTGGGACTAAAAACCGAACAATGAAATTGTTTTTGTTTAACTGGTTTATTAATTAATAAAATCTTATCAACAAAATTTTTCTCGAAAACTTTCAATTCAAGATGATAATTTTCACATAAGAAATTAAAAATTAATGAATAGAATGTGAGTTGGGCAAAAACATTTCGTAATATCTTCTCGAAACTGCAGGCCTCTCATTCAGCAATTATTTATCATCTATTTTATTTTTTGCGCAATAATTCAGCTAAAAAAATTTTATTTTCAAATTAATTTTTGATTTTGTACGATTAAAAAAAATTACTAATAGCCTAATTTAGTTAAAATTTTACAAAACTCGTTTTTTCTTATATTGGGATTGTATGTCTTCTAACTAAATCTTGGAAAAAGTTGAACACTAAGCATGTTTCGGTCTTCCCAACTGCTTGGGAAACAGATTTTCATCCCACCATATTTATAAATTGCGATAATTTCTGCGACTCACGCAGAGCCAGCTGACAAGTAGAATTCAACATTTTAATTTAATGTTTGTAACTTGTATGATGGATTTGAACAACTGAGTGGTCAATGGCAAAATGAACCAAAAATACAAATTCTCTAGCTAGGGGAAAGGTGTTTTAAATTGAAATTAATTGATCCAATCTATATTTTTCAAACTTAAAATTTAAGTTTGGTATCTTATTTATGTTGTTTTTTGAAAGTTGAATCTTGTTACTTACAATCGTTTGCTATTTCTGTCAATAAAAATTGTCACATTCAAAATAACCTGTTGAAAATTACCGTATCTTGAAGACTTTAAAAGTTGAAGTATCAATAAGAACGAGAACAAGTTGGTGTCGTTCAACCACACACAACCGCACGTTTGTTGGCAGGCAATTTATCAAATCAGAGCATTCTTGGCGTGCCGTACGTTATAATAATTTATTTATAGCTCACATAATGTCCGGCTCTCTACATTAGAATGTGCTTAGCCTATATTTTTATCACGAGGAGGAATTCCACATTTTTGGCGAGTCGCCAAAAATGAAAAGTAACGGTCGCCAGCAAATGTTAAATTTTCATAATTCCTTTTGAGCCGGATTGTCTGTCCTCTTTCATTCGCTCATATTTTGGTTCTTTCTTTTTTTCTGTTCAATCACTCATTTATTTACTATACTACTCATTATTTCATTTTATTCATCGTTTTAATATCGCTCATTCAATCTTTTCTTGTCTCGCTCATTCAATCTTTTCTTCTCTCGCTCATTCAATCTTTTCTTCTCTCGCTCATTCAATCTTTTATTCACTCGCTCATTTGTTTCTTACGTTCATTTGATCAATTTGTTCCTTATGCTCATTCGCTCAATTTGTTCATTCGTTCATTTATTTAGCGTTAATTCTGGAATTCCTGGCTATAAATAATTTTATTTTAGTATTTTATAACTTTTCATTATATATTTTATATTTTACTCGTCAACGTTAAACGCAACAACCTTTCTTGTATTCCAGATGTTTCAACTGAACCTTTCCATTTTCGAAGACCGAAATTTCACGACTGCATCCTTTTTTTTATCAGATTTTAAAACTTCGTTTGAGCATGGTATTCTTAATCTCTAATATTTAATTGAAATGGCTCCTATCAGGCAATTCGATGGCTGTCCATAGGTGGTGTCACACTGAGGTTGAGAGGGGTAAAACAATTTGTGAAACTGTTCTGACGTGGAAATGGTGGGGAGTTAGAAGCTTGTGTGACATCCCTTTTTGCTTTCACTTTTTTAATTTCCATCTTGAGTACCTAACTAAACTTTGGTTTAGATTCAACGTAATGACTTGAATTTCCAATGAGTATTTGTAGTATTTGATAATTTGCAAGAAACATTTTAAATTATTAGCTTCTAACTAACTTTCAGGTTCTAAGAATTATGAGATGCTTTCAACAGGGGGTTTAAAAGTTTGTGTGACAGTTTGGGGGAAGGAGGAGAGGAGAGTCAAAATATTGCAAAAAACCATGTCACCCTTTATGAACAGCCCCAATCGTTGTTAAAAAAGTTTTCGCCACCTACGGCCTTTTGTTTAACGACATCACATAAAAATACTGAATGATATGTTCGCATTCACACCATCGCGTTATCGCCATATCATGTAAGGCTGGCTTATAAAATGATAAGTTTTTTTAATTGATTATTTTGAAATACAATCAAAAAGCATAAATACAAGTTAAAAATAAAATTTAGAAATTTTCAGCAATTTGTCATGCGAATATCTGTTCAAAGAAGAAATGTTGACTCGAATGCCTTCCACTCCAAACAGAATGTAGGCTACTGCACCAGACTCTTCTAATTTTTAATATTGGGTAACTTAAATGAAGTTTTATCAGATTTTATTCAGACAACTGTTGAACGAGGATTTCTCTTACATTGAATATTTGAGGAGCAAAGAATGTTAACGTCACACTTTATAAACAAATGAAAAATAACAATTGTTTTTGAATAAAAATGAAAGTTATTACATACACCGTATTTAATCCAATGTTGATTTAAACTTGAAATCTAACGCACAACTTCTTGCTATGATCTTTTTAGTAAATATTAATTGGCCGATGATCCCGTTTTAATTAATGCAACACTTGTGAATAACGGATCTTGCTTGAGTAAATTTAGCAAGAAATTTTTTTTCATAATTATGAATTGATAGATTACTGATACTTTAGAACACGGTGTATTCATTAAATAATTATTCTATCGATGCCAAATAATCCAGGAAAAAAAAGTTTAATCTCTTATATAAACAAGGTGAGGACAAACATCTGGGCATTTTTCATTTTGATTCTATTGTTCGCCTTCACGCATGGCGTTCAAGGAAGCATGATAACCGGGGTGCTGACCACTGTTGAGAAGAGATTCAACCTTCCAAGTTCCCTCTCCGGCATCCTAATTGCAGTGGCCACCCTAGGATACATATCAGGTGTACTCATCAATTCAATATTTCTCGTCAACAAAAGTCACGTTCGAGTATTTGCGGTTTTTATGACGATGACCGCACTGGCAGCATTGATCTACGTCGTTCCTCACTTCTTGTTTTACAATGACATGGAACCTCAAAAAGTTGGGCCGACTGCCAACAAACAAAAATTTCCAAATTATACAAATAAAACGAACGTTGGAAGAACAAATAAGGTGGCACTTTCAATGTTTTGTGTGGCGGAAATTATTCAAGGAGTGTCGGGCTCATCGGTTTGGACGATCGGCCTGACTTTCATTGATAAAAACACATCCATTGCTCTGGGCTCCAAATTATTCGGTCCTTAAATTTTTTATTTAATATTAATTTGTTTGAATAAATGTAACTTGATCGAATTGAGAATTCAAAGTAAATTCAAATTAATTCAAAGCAACAACTTCACTTTGTAAGCGAAATTGAATAGCGTGAATTTTTCAATTTTGTTTTACCAAATCAAAGGCATGAATTTTTATACTATAAATCTTAATTCGTAGTTACAATTTTTAGCTTCCAAGAAACTATTAGGGGATATCTTTCTGATTATCATTGTTTCAAATTATCCTTTAACCTCCAGGTGCAATATTTCTCTTGCGATGTTTTTCGCCAGTCTTATCATTCGCCCTTGGAAGCAGTTTTCTTACATTTCCTGTAGATTTGCAATGTATGTCACTTATTAATAATTTTTTTTAATCAGATTGTAAACATCAATATAATGATATGATAATCTTCCAATATTATAAGAAGTTGAAAGACGTCTGTATTAAATTGCAGCAACTTCTTGGTCGCCAGAGCATCCGCGTTGGATAGGCGCTTGGTGGTTGGGCTACGTGGTCTGCTTCATAGCTAACACTTTGATTGCAATTCCTACATACTTTCTACCCGACACCTTCATTAACGCGATAACTTCTGAGGAAAGAAGCAAGAGCCAAAAAAGTTCTTTGATTTCGAAAATAAGCGAGACATTCAACGATTACATCGACAAACCGGTTAAAGGTTCGTTGGACATTTTTAACTAAATTCTTCAAAGGCAGTTACAAACCTTCATTTTTATTGAAATCGTTAGTTACTAACCCATTTATAACTAACTCTAACGACAACAAATTAGAAAAAATGTCATCAGTGAAACGAATTGTTTGCAACCCCATGTACACGATATTTTCACTTGGAGTTTGTTTTGACTGCTACATATTGGCTTATTTCACATTTCTTCCAAAGTACATTGAAGTTAATTTTCGACTTTCCGCAACAACAGCACCTACATTTGGAGGTTGGTGCTTCAACTTATAATTTTGAACTATTTTTACATTTTATGGCGGGTTAATCAAAAGATTTTATGAAATCTTCTTTAGAAGTGTTCTCAACTATATTTCTAAATTTTTAAACAAATTAAATAAAGATAGTATTAAAACATTGAATTAAATAATCCACATATTACCCCAATGCTCCATGAATACCGAAATTCAAGAATGTTATTTACGACGTAACATGTTTGTCGAAGTCTCGTATGTTACATAAATTAATATTCGCTAATGATTTTAAACGTTTGATAAACTGTAGAAGTTAAATTTGAAGTATTATTTTATTAAATTATACATCGGATCGTAATTTATTATTTTTTACTGAAACTTTAATCAGCTTCATCTTCATTAGACGCAACCAAGGTCAAATATATTTGGTTCTTAATTCTTTTCCTAATGTTGGAGAGTTTATTCAACATCGCATGGGTTTTAAGTTGTGTATTTTTATGAATGCAATTTTTTACTCATTGAACGAGGTAACATTGAAACAAAAAAGAACAAACTTTATCTGCTTTCTTATTCGTTATCCTTACCTTCGGAAGTGTTTGCTATTCTTCACAAACTCTCAACCATATGTCTTTGCACCAGATGTCTTTGTAAGCCATCTGGTGCAACTATAGTTTCAGAGTTTGTAGAGAGAGGTTTTGGTGACAGAATATAAATTTTAAGTTAGAGTATTGTACCCTAACTTTAAAAACGCCAGATTATCCCATTTTAGTTAATGATAATATGTTTGAGCGCTAATATGTGATTGAACGGTTCGGATAGAATTTGAGAACAACCGGTTTGGAATCATTGTCGAAATTATTATTTTTTTAAACATCTAAAATATTGTTACATAAAACATGGGTTAAAACAATTTTTCGCATTTTATCAACTAAATTGAAACAAATTAAATAAACTCAATTTATGAAAAGGAATGATACCAGTCCTCTGCGCCGGCCTGTCTTCGTATTTGGGCGGAGTGTGCAGCGGCAAGTTCGAGCAGTCGCACGACAAAGGTGTCAGCAGGAACATGACCTTCGTGTGCGCCATTGCCATTGTTAACTTATTCGTTCTTGCTTCTCTAATGAATCTTCGATGCTCCGATGAGTTTTATTCTGCAACTTGGAGCATTGAAAAACAAGAGTAAAAAAATTTTATTTTTGTATTCCTTTAAATTTATTCTGGAAACTTAACACTAGTACGACAACATTAAATCATCTTCTTATTTGAAACCAAGCAGCCAATCATTTATTTTATTAAGATCGTTGTAACAACAAGATACAAAGTATAGACAAAGTAGCCAAAACATTTTCTTTTTGTCACCATTTTTAAATTTCAGCGAAAATGACTTGCAAACCGAGATGCAGCGAGATGATTGTAACTGCCGACCAAACAGTTTCGATCCTGTTTGTGGACCGAACAAGTCTCTTCACATTGACAAGTGTTACGTCGAGTGCGTGGACTGGCATAAAGATTCTAACAAGTCAAGAGTTAGAAAGCCTTTTTTAAAAACTAAACTGAATGTAAAAATTGTGCTAAAAGTTAATTAAACAAATCGGATAAATTCAAAATCATTTTGAAATGTAATAACAGTAAATGTAATGTATAATTGATTATAAACCTGAATAAAATTAATACATTAGAGTTTGAATTTATATTTCAAATGAATTTGCCTGATTCTGGGTGACTAAGCATAGAACCCCCTGCAGTACTTCCACCATCAGCCGTGCTTCCTGGAAGACGACTTGAGGACTGAAGGCTACTGCGCATTCAGCTGCACAACTATTTTGGGCTTTCTTGTTTTCGGCATCGTCATCATGAGTTTCCTAAACAGCATATACACTGTAGCAATAACCAATGTTGTTTTGAAGTGAGTATTCAGCTTTCATTTTAAAATGTTTTCAATAACTTTAAATTTACTATTTTTTTTAATAAAATTTTCAAGGAGTGTGTCGAAAAAAGATAAACCTCTAGCGCTTGGTTTGCAAGTGGTGTTAATTTGTTTCATGTGTTAGTAAGTCAGATCAATTTGTATTGTCATTAGTTCAATAAGTGCTATCAAATGCAAAAAATAAATAAATATTTAAACAATATTATACAAAGTTTGAATGATTTAACGAAAATTGTTAAATTTAGAATATTTTAATTAAAAAGTGGTTCCTACCCCAGTCTTGTACGGAAAGTTAATTGATTGGACATGCATTCTATGGATCAAATCATGCGATGGAACGTATGGATCTTGTCTCGTCTACGATAACAACAAATTTCGATACGTTTTGCATGGAAACACGCTCGTATGGAAGATTTTGGCGGTTTGCAGTTACATTGTAGCTTTCACTTTGGCCAAAAAACGACTTAAAAAGTTGGAAAGTACTCCTGAGGAGAAGGAAGAAAAAATCGTGCAAGAGGTACTCGCAAGTGATGTTAACACGGAAAATAAATAGAATTCGTAACAACGCTTAGCCTTTACACCCATTTCATCTTAGTTTTATATGTAAATATGCACAGTTTATATTTCTTTCATAATTAAGGGTATTTGATGCATAGTTAAAATTTTTACAA